CAAAGTGAACGCGACCCGTATCGATTTTTATATACGTGTATTCGTACAATACACATAAATTTAGTTCAATTAGAATTTAGTCATTCTTTTGGTGGTAATCTTTTTTATTGTTGCGTGTCTATTTCTAGTATGAGCTCTTAGATGTTATTATTGTAATTCTCTATATTGCAACAACCAACTTAATGGCTACTAGGGAGTACAAGCGCAAAGCTAAAATTTTAGCCTTAATCTTACCAGAAATTGCTTGTTTCTTGAAAAAGATTGGGAATAGAAGCTAAACAAAATTTTAACCAGATGTGCGGCAGGAATTAATAAAAGATTTTGAACATAACCGGGATCGGAATGGAAAAATAATTTCAACTGGGACTGAAACTGACCAGTGAACAAAAAAGATGTTCTTGCAGTTCTCTTTTTGGGTAGCTCGGGTATATATTTATTCAGATTCTCGATGGTACGTTATGTGCATCCTCAAGAATAGCTCTTGATGACTTATGGGGACTCCTCAGATTGGAAAGAAAAGGTCACAGATTTCTTATGAATGATCGAGGCGATCAGAAGTACTGTAGGAAAAGTTCTCTCTAGCTAAACTGTTCGAATAGATCAGATCAGATCATTGTTTTGAACAGATTGGAACTTTTACCAAGCTGTCCAACTTCTATATGTAGCTTCAGGAGCGTTACCCAGAATGCTAATAGCATTATCTGGGTAGCAATGGGCATCATCAGGGGCGCTATTCCCATTGTCTGGACTGCTACAGAGTTTCCGTTTAAACAGACTATGAAAACGTAAAGACGTACATGTATTCGAATTGAAATTAATACAATGTTAGGTCTAACATGTTCTATTGACTAAGTTTTTAGTGATTAGGGTCACGCGTTTTTGTTAATGGGTAATGTGGATGGGCAGCCACTAGCATTATAACTGCTCGATGTTAATACCCATTGTGATTGGGAAACGCTGAACGTAAACGACCGTTCACGATGAAGCACAACAGAAAATAGTGAACGTTCATTGAACCGTTTACAGATGACGTATACGGTTAATTATGACTATGTCCGATAGGCGTTTACAGTCATCGTGTTTTCACGATAGCCGTACACGATCAGAGTTTACGTTAGTCGTTTACGACCGGGCATCGTTGACCTGGGTTAATATACTAATAAACGTTCGGAAACACAGTATGATCTAGTAAAATCCATAGATCCCCAAAAGAATTCTATATTACTGTATCAAATAGGAATATCAACTAAATTTATATCATTTTCATAATTCGTTGGAATAAAATGAATAAAAGCTTTTATGTTACCAAAAGCTGATTATAATTCAGTAAAGAAAATTTTTGAATAAAAATATTGCATCGATGAATATTTAAGCTTGATTTTGAGACTTCTATTAAATGCGATTGCTATTAAATAAGAATACTCAATCGAATAGAAACTAGCAAAGTGGTGATAACGGCAGGAATATTTAAAAGTATAATATCGATAAAGATAGCACCTTTAAATAATAATGATTATATTAGAAAAATAAGCTTATTAGCGCAGCTCCTTTGGGCTGAAATGTGGAACTCACATAATTCCCATAAGCTAGAATACTCGACAAATTTTAGAACCAGTTGCTAAGGTCTGTAATGGAGAGGGGAATGAGAGAGGGAAGCCGCGGAACCTTGACCTTAAAATTTACACTCACTATTTTCTTCGAAAATATATGTGAGTTCTACAAAAATATCTAATGAATTTATTGTACAGTATTTTAAAGACTTATTATACAAAAAAGAATGCCAATATCATGAAAAGGTGTTGGAATTTCTTTCCTTCTTTATCGAAGTTTCAAATGAAAAATCGAATTATTCTACAAAATAACTATGAAAAATAATATCGTTTTTCGTTTATTGTATTTTATTGTTTCCTTACAAGCATGCTAACGTAGAACCATAAGTAAACGATCACATGTTTTCTTCTTTTTCTCGTTCACGCTCTCTCTCAATTCAGATTTTCTTTGCTGGTACCAGACATAAGAGAGAAAAATCGTTAAGAACTTGAATGCATCTTAGCCATTATAACTAATATAAAATGTGTAAATACAGAAAGGATTATACACGACTAATTTGAATGATATCATTCAATGGACGATATTCTAACTTATCGTCACTTACGCTTCGCTTCCTCCCTTCGCTATTTTTCATTCGAGCCCATGAGATGACTTTGTACCCCTGCTCGAGAGATCAAACGCCTTGCCAGTACGTACAGAAGTGCATTGAGAGGCTTTTGATATGAATGTTCACATGGTCGTTATCCTGTACCTACGACATACATATATGTATAGCTGTCTGACCATCACCGGAATCTTTCATCATACAGTCCCAGCAGGATCCAGGTGTATTTCTGCCAACGCGCTCCGGGCTGACTAGTAGTACCATAAAGGAAAAGCACCCGATTTGTAATCATTATGAAAAAAACTTGAACATAATTTGTTAAAGCAAAAACAAAGCAATTACATTTTCTCTTTCATAAATTCAATGTTTCTTTTCGACTGTGCAAGATTCGAATTTGTTGGAAAGAGAGTTTTTTCGCCTATATCGAGTTGTTTTGCTGACAATGGAAGTGTCTTCGAATACTCGCCCATATTTGTATACACCGCACCGATATTGTTGTATGATTGAGCCAACAAGAAATGATTCGAAGGGAGAGTTTTTTCAAAGATAGCGACTGCTTTTTCGAGAAATGAATGTGCTTTTGAATATTCACCCATGTTATTATACACTCCTGCAATGTTGTTGTATGAAATGCCTAAGTCTAGATGGTTTGAAGGGAGAGTTTTTTCTCTGATATCAAGTGACTTTTCATAAAATGAAAGTGCTTTTGAGTATTCCTCCATATTTTTATATACCAAACCGATGTTGTTGTAGGAAGTAGCTAAGGAAAGATAATTTCGAGGAAGAGTTTTTTCGTAGATATTGACTACGTTTGTGTAAAATAAAAGGGCTTTCGAATATTCTCCCATGTTAAAACACGTCGAACCGATATTGTTATAAGTAGCAGCCAAGCTAGGACTGTTTGGACAGAGATTTTTTTCGTTGATATTGAGAGATTTTTCATAGAAAGAAAGCGCTTTCGAGTACTCGCCCATGTTATTATATACATCTCCAATGTTCTTGTATGAAGTAGCCAAGTCAGGATGATTGTCAGGCAGAGTTTTTTCTCTGATATCAAGTGATTTTTCATAAAACGAAAGTGCTTTCAAGTACTCGTTCATGTTAGCATACACTCCTCCGATGTTGCTGTAGGAAGTAGCTAAAGAGGGATGATTTGCAGGGAGAATGTTTTCGTAGATATCCATTACACTTGTGTAAAATGAAAGAGCTTTTGAGTAGTCGCCCATGTTATTATATAATTCTCCGATGTTGTTGTAAGAAGTAGCCAAGTCAGGATGATTGTCAGGCAGAGTTTTTTCTATGATCTCGAGTGATTTGTGGTAAAATGAAAGTGATTTTGAATTCTCGCCCATGTCATGATACACCCCTGCGATCTTGTTATATGAGGTAGCGAAGTCGGGATGGTTCGGAGGAACAGCTATTATTTTGACATCAAGTGCTTTTTCATAAAACAAAAGTGCTTTCGAGAACTCGCCCATGTTATTATACACTCCTCCGATATTGTTATAAGCAGTAGCCAAGTCAGGATGGTTCGGAGGAAGCGTTTTTTCGTAGATGTCGACTACGTTTTCGTGAAATGAAAGCGCTTTCGAGTATTCCCCTATGTTATCATGCACCAAACCGATGTTGTTGTATGATTGAGCCAATAAGAAATGATTCGAAGGGAGAATTTTTTCGAAGATACCAAGTGCTTTTTGTAGAGATGAAAGTGCCTTCGAGTATTCGCCCATGTTATTATACACTCCTCCGATGTTGTTGTAAGAAGTAGCCAAGTCGGGATGGTTCGAAGGAAGAGTTTTTTCCCTGATATGCAGTGATTTTTCATAAAATGAAAGTGCTTTCGAGTACTCACCCATGCTTTTATATACCAAACCAATATTGTTGTAGGAAGTAGCTAATGATAGATGATTTGAAGGTAGAGTTTTTTCGTAGATATCTAATACGTTTTTGTAAAATGAAAGAGCTTTTGAATACTCGTTCATGTTGGCATACACGGAACCGATGTTGTTGAAGGAAGTAGCCAAGTCAGGATGGTTCGAAGGAAGAGATTTTTCATTGATATTGAGTGATTGTTCGTAAAATGAAAGTGCTTTAGAGTACTCACCCTTGCTATAGTATACCCCTCCGATGTTGTTGTAAGATGTAGCCAACTCTGGATGATTCGGTGGGAGAGACTTTTGCAAGATTCCAAGTGATTTTCCGTAAAATGAAAGTGCCTTAGAGTACTCGCTCATGTTTTTATATACTAAACCGATATTGTTGTAGGAAGTAGCCAAGTCGGGATGGTTCGGAGGGAGAATTTTTTCTTTGATATTCAGTGCTTTTTGATAAAGCTCAGCAGCCTCATCGTATTTCTCTTGGTCATCTTTGAGTAGGCCAAGATTATTATAACAAATGGCTTTATCGTTCTCATTGGATGTCTGTTCGAGTAAAATCTGGCACAATTGTTCTGCCTTGTCATTTTCACCCAATTTCCATAACAAGTAAGCGATTGTTAGCCACCGTGTTCCAGTTATCTGGCTTTTCATTTGATTGATGAGAACATGGAGTTGTTGATCGTCAGTGTCACTGATGAGTGTGAGTTTCACCTGCCACAGGGACATTCCATTATCTTTGATTTCTTCGATTTGGTGGACGCGAAAAATCGTGTGTGTTGAAAAGACAATTTCATTTTCTTCCCCGGACTTACTAATTTTGCTGATGCAAGCGAACGGAACAGATGAAATCGATTGATCAATTGTTATTTCGAAGAAAACACCGATTTTCTTCTGGTTGTTGTTTGACTCGAGCCCTCTCTTAATAAAACGGATCGCCACATTGTAGTCGTCACTTGTTGATAAGAAATTATTGAACGACATGAATCCATCTTTCTTAATTTTAGTGTCAAAATCTTGCTTGATCATGGTTTTACCCCGGTAGACTGTAATTGTTTTGGGGTCATTATGCGTTTCAGTTGATTGCTCAGAATGAAGTTCCTTAATGTTTTCATGAAGATCTCGGATAAAAATGCCCATTCTCAGGAGGGTTTCGACTTGTAGAGTATTCAGTGCTCTATTGAGCATATGGTATGTGAAACATTCTCGAGCATACCACAAAATAGGCTTGCTGTTATCGTTCAAATTACCTTGATATTCTCGAGCGAATTCGTCGATTTTCATCAAGTGCTCATCGTTACCAGCATACTGCTTGCGTGCATACTCAACTAGATCATTGATTTCGTTGTTTTCATTGAAATCGATATCAAGAATCATTTCTTTGAAGAGTTGTGTATACATGAACGATGATTCAATTTCATTGAATGACGATACAGCACTTATTGGGATTGAATCCTCATCACATTGTCGAGCCGATGGTCGAATTGAGTCACAAATTGTGGTAATTTTGCTGTAAATACCTTTCACTTTGGGCCAGCCTTTGGCCCATTCTTCATACTTTTCTTTGTTCTGACAAAAGACATAAATTAAATAGAGTTGAGTGGTGCTATGAATACGTGGCACAACAATTTGGCATAAAGCATCAGAAATAATTAGGAATGCTTTTTCATTTTGGAGTTTCGAAATGTAATCGACACATTCTTCCGTATCTTGGAATGTTTCAATAGTATTGACTACGCGTCGGAGGTGTTTGATTGAGTTACGATAATCCTCGTTGTATTCATCGAATTTGGCATCAAGCCAAATTAATAGAAAATTTTGAACAATTTCACGTGTTTCAGTTCGATGATTCGATTTTACAATGCGATTTGAGTCCGATTGTTGGTTTAAAGTAGAGAGTGATAATGGTGATGATGATGGCGTTATTGCTTTACCAGGATGGTAGCGATTGCTGGAAGAACCAGCCTTTGCTGATTTTGATGCATTGCAACCCATATTGATTATACATAACGTAAAGAACTATATGTATGCATCATCAACTGGAAATCACAAATGATTGCTATCCAGCAACAAAGCTTCATCATTAAAATGAAAATTTTCTGTGACAATAACGATTTTTTTTCTTTCGCAATTATCAATATATGTTTTTTGTCAATACTCAAGAACTTTATTTGACTTTAACAGAATAAAAAGACACATGATGGCAACGTATTGCCTCTATTGTTGCCAACTCTCACTTGCTTATATGTTTTGATGTACAGTCAGTGTCAAAGCGTGATTGTATTGAGTCAACAAATATCTTGTAGAAAAATGAATTACCATTTTCTCTTCCAACGAAACAAACGATTCAATAGTTTCAGTCTCTTCTCTGTTGTTGCGTTCTACATGCACATAATCCCATTTTTTTCGTGATCATGCAATCAATTGTAATGAACGATACAGTGAAAGAATGAAATTGTGCTTGCGAGCATAAAACTTTTCAGCAAAAAAAAAATACTCCATAATTTTTCAAAGACAATAATAGCAAAAAGATATTCGAACGATAATGTGTTGATGAAAAAATACAATTGTCAACATGTTGTTTCCATCTGAAAAACGTGAAACCAGTAAAATCGAATTTCGAGCAACGATAGGCTAAATGAAGATAATGTGAGTGTTATATTCTTGATGAGGCAATATGATTATAAAAATGATTTTGTTATATTTTAAGCAAGATAAACAGGAAATTAAGTGGTAAAATTCATTAGAAATACTGATGTCATTTGTTAGATAAACAGTTAAAGAAGATAGATAACATAACTGAATTAAATTTTGAAAGAAATGAAAAGATAATTGATTATACGAATAATTTAAATTACATAGCTAAAGAAATAGATTGATATAATAAGAATCTAATGAACGAAGTGAAACGATTCACTGTCGATGTTTGAACAATAAATCGTATACAATGATCTTGAAATTATAATATAGATTTAATATCAATACTTATATTTAATCATACAGATGTCAGATGACAGGTCGTCTATTGTGGAAGAGATCTGATTACGATGAGCTTAACACTTCCCACGACCCTCCGAGAATGAGAATACTTTCTGACGAATTTTCAGTCTGTGCCATTTTAAAAATTATAGACAACCCTGAACCGAACAATTCCTCACAGGACTATTCGTCATGGATGTATGAGTGCTGGTGTGTGTTTGAGTGAAGATCTTTTGTATGCTCTCATCTACACCCTACCTCACACACTCATTTTCGTGCTCCTTCAGGATAATTAAAGACTAGCACGTCATACAACGAATTATCCTAGTATTGAAATGTTACCACTAAGAAAGATAAAAAAAAGTCATTTTCAAACATTTTATTCCATTGAAAAATTACGTATAAAGATATATAAATATATATATCACGATTAAAACACATTATTCTTACTAGTTCTCTATTACAGGTGTTCATTCCATCGCAGATAAATTTTATCACATATACGTTTGATTGTATAATTATCAATTAACTTTTCAATATCGATTATTATTTGTAAATTGCTCATCATTTCATCATTTGCTTCCGAAATCCAAAGACATATTGAACATAAGTGTGGAATAAAATTTGTATTTCTTTTGTTTATAACATAACGTATTAACCATTTACCATCGAAGATATTTCTACATTTTACTTGAAGATCACACATATGAAAACAGAGATCCATAATAATATGAATTTGATCGAGTTCTGTCATTTGTTCAAGATTCACCTTAGTTATTTTGTTATTAGAAGATACAAAATGAAACATATTAATTTGTTCTTTAGATAAAATTTTAGCTTTTTCTGGAAATTCAGATGTTATTGTTAATGAATCAAGATTAGGTAACATGTTTAGGAATTGAATCAGAATAGAAATTGAAAAATGACACAAATCAATATGTAAACTAGTAAATTGTACCAAAGCAGCAATAGAACAAATATAACCTTGCACTAATCTATAGTATTCTACAGTTGGTGGACCTTCAACCGTAAGATGAAGATGCGAAAACGAAGTATTGTTGCTTTTTTGTTCAGCCAAAGTTGAACAAGTAACAAATTGATTCGAGTTTGCATCATCGTGCCATTCGTACCATTGTTTTCTAGACAAAAAGAGAACAAAGTTTTATTATTTCTAAAAGGAATTTCTATCAATGTACTTTAATGGTTGAATCGAATATGTAATTGTAGCTGGTGGGAACACGTTTATACAAATTTTAAGCTCAAAAAACCATCTTCGTTGAATCCAAAACGGTGAAAGAAATCGATCGAAATTTAAGTGATATGGTTTGTACATTAATTGATTATCAAGACCTTCTGTATATTTGAAATCCAATATCCGTAAATGAGGTATATGTTTTAAAATTAATTGTTCCCAACGATCAGCATCAAGATAAGAACTATCCCAAGATGCAGTAAAACGCAAAACTCGAATATAAGAAAATGATTCTTTAATAAGAGTTTCTAACTCGTCAAACTTTAAATAACACATATTTATTGACAAATATCTCAAAGTGAAAATATGTCTTGATATTTCTGTTTTTATTGAATTACTTGAATGTAAACACTTACAAGTTAGATGACTAAGTCGTGGTGTACACGAAAGAATCATAATGAATTCACGGACAATGCATTCATAATCAATAACTACATGTTCAATAAGACTTGATTCATTAATTTCATAATATTGTAAAATAGGTGAACAGCTTCTGAATGCTGAAATTTTGTTATATTTCAGCAAAGGCAAAAGTGTCATCGATAAAGGGTGTCCAGATAAAAGTCGCAATAGTTTACTTTCTTCTCTTCTCTCTCTCCAGTTTCATCGATCATCCTGTCCTCTTGGACATCAACTATAAAACTAGAGCCAGTCTGCTTATTCAAATATACCTTTTCCTTTTTATGAAATAAACATATGAAAAAACAATAATGAATCGACACGCATTTCATACACAACAAGCAAAAATATAATCTATTGCAAAGCTTTTGTTTTTTAAAAATACATTCGATTTTTAATAAGCAGAGAATATTAAAATAAAAAATGGAGTTCAATACATATGACAATTCTCCAAAAAATAGCTATCTGCTCATGTAGCACAATCTTCAATTATTTCAACGTCATATTCATGTTCAACTGATTCATTTAGTTCATTTTTCGGTTAACAATGCTCTTCAAAATTTCACCCGAAAGTTGTGTGAAAGATAAATACGAAAGTTTTAAAACTATTTTGAGAAATTTTCACTATTGAATTATTGAAATTAGAGATAACACATATTGCAGTACTTAAACAAAACAATACTATCAATATATACTGAAACCTTTAATCTCAAGAATGAAAAAATAAAGGCTTCTTGACAGATTTGAGAATTTTTCTATCTATCTAATGATTCAACGGTTTCAAAGTATTTTTTCCTTCAGTTCCAATGCGTTTCTCGATTTTAGTTCTTTGGAAGCGTCGAAATCTACTCTCCTTCCTTCTGTTCAGTTTTGATGCACCCCGTCGCTCTTCTACCTGGACGCCCATTATGGATGATTAGCAACGAAAAACCAAGCCATAAAGTTTCGAGAAATTTCTTAAACCATCATTAAGACCAATTTTCAATGAGAAAAGACGAGGTAAAGTAATTAAATTCGGAAGAAAGTATATTAGGATGTCATATTGAATTTTATAGAGAACAAGAGATTCAAGACGACTGAATGACTCATCAATCATATGTAATGAAAAACTAAATGACATGTACGATTTATCATTTATATGAAATGAAATGATTCGATGTCGATATGGTATAATAAGTTTTTGATAATGATATTCGGTAATTTGATTAGATGAAATTGAACGATGAATTTTAATTGGTAATGATGAATAAAGAATGAGACATTTAAAACGTATATTAAGATTTGAAAATGTATCGAAAATATCACAACCATCAAGATAATCGAATATTTCATAAAAAATTTCATTTGACAAATGTTCGATACAAGTAATCTCTGTTCTATAATCATATATGCACAAAAAATTAAAATACAACTAAAAATTTCTTGTTTACTTACCCATTCTTGTCAAATTTTAAATCTGAAATAATGAAAAAAAAACTATTTTTCAAGTTTAATTGATTGAAGCAAATTATTGACAATTACTTCGTAATTTTTTTGTTTTTTCATCAGATGACATATGTTCATTCAATTGTCGTTTGACTTGATTCATAGAAATGTCACTAAGTATTATCTAGAAAAGTTTTCATATAAATATAGTAAAACTCATTAATCAGATGCGAAAGAAAAAAGATGTTGATGATCCTTCAATTATTTTTTGAATCGATTACCTTATTCGAATGAACTTAATTCATCTGAATCATAAATTATTGATTTCGAACTGGGTTATAATGAATGCTAATCTAGAGAAGAATCTTTTCGTATAAGCATTCCTATTTAGAGGGCTGCAGGGTGCAGGATTTTTATAACCTGTAACCTGCCCTGTAAATTTTTTGTAACCTGATCCTGCCCTGCCCTGTGAATATTTTTGCGGACCGTGCCCTAAAACTTTCTAATGTAACCTGTAACCTGCCCTGCCCTGCCCTGCTAATTTTAAAATAGAGGAATATCCAAAATTTCCTATCAGTATTTATAGTACATTTNGAGATTAGAAGATAGCGATAGATAAACTCTTTTGAGTACCTTCGATCTACCTGGATTAGTAAACTGTTGTTAAAGTTCAGTGTAAACAGATGCGTGGAGAATACTCAAAAATCGTTGTACAAGTTGACGTGGCAGAAAAACTCTACTCAAAAAGGTATTGAGAAGATATTTCTTTGCTTAAATTTTTCTTCCCTTTATCTGGATTTTTTTCTTTCTTTTCCAAGCTCAGCAGCAAGTACTGGGAAGAAATTTTCTAGTTCATCATGCTCAATTCGTAAATCCGACGAATTTTTTCTTATTTATTCGCGAAGGATCCACCCCAAAACTATGTCAAACAAAACATTTCAAACAGATTAAATAATCTACATTCACCTGATTTCGACTTCTTACTGTTTTTAGAGGATATATTTTTTTAGGGGTATAGTTATCATAAATTAATTATTGCTCATATTGTTCATTTCTTTTCGATAAAGTGGGTCAATACATTACAAGCTCAACGCCATTCACTATTCCTAGTCTAGTTAGCATTCATTTGAGTCATACATTCGCCTTCAAACACTATTCTTCAGGAACCAGCAAAATCGACTAGTGTACAATAGACATACAATCTTATAATCTTCTCTTTTTGTCCTTCCTTTTCTGTGGGATGGGTTTCATTCACTATGTTTCTTCGTTACGTTGTCTGTCTCGTCTTTCTTTTGATTTTCATTATTTTTTCTGCAAGCATTTACGAGTGCCCCAATAAAACAGAACTTAAATCACAAGAAAAAACAACACATAGACATCTTACTTTGAGAGCAATACTTTCTGTGTCATCATAACCAACCCAATTCGAACCAGAATAGGCATATGGTACTTGATGTTGATTCGACCATTCCTTTGTCCATCCTAAAGAAAAATTTGATACATGAAAATATTCTCTTTCATTATTAAACAAACTAACCTTCCTTAAGTTTTTGACATACTTCATAATAACTCATAAAACCACTTTCTCCTGTATATGCGCCAGCCATTGCACCACTACCAACAGTAGGAGAACCTATTAAAACAAAAAAACAGTATTTAAATAAAATGTTTAGTTTTTTGTACCAATTCCATTCGCTGAAGGATCAGCGAGTTGATGAGTTCGCCTATAAATCAAAAATATAAAAGAGGTTTTTGTTTTGAAATAAAATAATCTTCTAATATATTTACCCATATGCACCCATACCTAAATTTAATTTATCTGGTGTACAATCTTGTTTTTTCAACATATGTTGAACAGTTTCTTTTTGACTTGTTAATGGACTATTATGTCCAGCAGTCCTTTCCCATTGACCAGTATAATCATATGTCATCATATTAATAAAATCTAAATGTCTAAAATATGCTTGATATAAGATATCAATTAAATATACAATTGATCAATTTTTTTTACTTGCAAATTTCAGGTTCATAGCTACCATCATATCTTGAAGGTGATGCTGGTGTTGCAGCTGATAATAAAAGACCTTCAGGTTTGTATTTTTCACTTAATTGCTAATTAAACAGCAAATAAAATTTACTTTAAGAAATTTTTAATATTTAATATGTTGCTTATCTTGTTACCTCAACTAATTGTGTAAAACGATGTCGATCATCATAAGGACTACCACGATCAGCTGGATATTCCCAATCTATACAAAAAGTAATAAACAAACAATTGAATTAAAATCAAAGTATAATTTTAATTTTAATTTACCAAGATCAAGACCATCAAAACCATATTTTTTAAGAAAATTATATGAATTTTCAACAAATTCTTGTCGTGATTTTTCTGTTGCAACCATTTGTGTAAAGGGTCCTGATCCATGATTCCAACCACCGACAGCAAGCATAACTTTTAAATCAGGATTCTTTTCTTTTAATGCAAGGATTTGTTTATAATTTTCTATAGACAAGATAAAGAACAGAAGTACTTGATTTTTTTTAAATATGAATATTTTAATTACAAACCAGGATCACTTCCTTCAGTTGTTCCTAAGTCATTTCCTCGAACACTTGCAAACGAATATATAATATGTGTACATAAACTAGGATCAATATCTTGAATAGAAAATCGTCCATCACTTGGTCGATAACCAGACCAATTCGTATAATAACACATGACCCGTTTTCCATAACCTATAGAATGATTCAATTAAATAAGAAAATTATTTTCATATAAAATACCTTCATTTACTGTCAGGAATAACAGTGCAGACAAGAGGCTGAATAATATCAAAGAAATCTTTGATAATATATATATGTATGTATTTTTAGTTTTTTGCTTTTACTTACAATAGAGATTGCATCTGTATGAGTGACAATAATTGGTTTCCTGCACTGATTAGAAAAATAGTAATAAAATGAAGAATCATGTGGTTTTTATCATTATATTGTCATCCTTTGTAATATGATATTGAATTTAATTCTGTTAGATAACTTCAAGGTCAATCAATAATATCGACTTAATTCTTTCTTTATTTTTTTTCAATAATAATCATTCATTTTGATAGTTATCGAGTATACATTACACAATTGTGATACTCTTACAATTTGAAGCATTCAGTCCTTGAATAAATGGGATCCTGATATATTAGTAGACATGCAAACTACTTTATTTTTCATTATATTAAGTTACTAGAATAAATCCTGTGTTTTTGTTTTGATATACTCTAAGCAAAAAAGTATTTACGCCGGATTCATACTGAAAATTAATCCTGGGAATCTATAAAAAAAATACGACGAAAATATTCAATTAAAGATTCTATATGATTTATACCATCAATTTTTATTTCGTCGAACTATCTTCAGGCAAAATTTTAGAAATAAATTGACTTTTTCATAAGATTTAACATGCAAATTGCTCATAAACACTTAATGAGCTTTATTCACGATTCGTTTGTTTGCCATGAACATGTATAAAAAAAAAACTACCATATACTAGCTCATATGTTGCTCAGAGTGGCCTCTTTCTTCTTATCTATCTTTCTCTCTTTTTCAATCGTTTTGCTGACATATGCTAGCAAAATGATTGAAAAAAAGAAAAAGATAGATGAGAGACCGCCTGGAGCAACATACGAGCTAGTATGTGGTCATTTTTTATGCATGTTTGTAGTCAAGCAGCAAGTTACGAATAAGATTCATTGATAAATTCATTTGAAACTTGAATTCGAATTTAATTTTTATACAAAAACACTTTTGTGCGAACTACAGTTTGATATATGTATTTCAAATGTAAGAACAACTGATTTATTACAAATATTATCTTGTATATTTTCAATTTTGATTTCGTCATCAATAGTTTTTGAATGAATATTGAATTGAACGTTTTATTGAATAATTAAAACAAAAACAACAAGTCATTTACAAATGGTAAAGCTTCAACAATGCATTTTGTATATAAGCAGTGAAATTTGAATTATTTAATATTTAGCGAAGTGTCATCATGCTCGAATAAATTAATGAATGTTAAATATTTTGCAATTAGTTTTTGTTATCTTTTTAAAATTTAGTTAAAACAGCAGATTAGCTTTTTTTTTGTTTCTTGATTATTAAAAAGACAAAAGACATTTACTTTAAGAAATATATCAAGGATGTTTTTTTTCTTCTTAGCAAAGGTTATTAATTAAGTGTATAAATCAGATGACAACATTAAAAAAAAAAGGATTTAGGACTTCAATCAAACGTCGGACATATTTGGCACGGTAACACGTTCGCCAGGTTTAAATGGTGGTAAACCACGTGATGGACAACCAGCACATCGAAAAGCATCGCCTAGATAACACTAAATGATAATAAAAAAAAAACCATATTGCCTATGAAAATGTCATATTTTTTGTTTTTCTCAATACATACACTTCCACATGATGATTTAACCGTTTCTTTTGCTGTTGTATGTTCTTCTTGTTCAAGTTCTTGTGCTAAACCACATGTACAATTTTTACATGCTTTTCGAACACCAGTTGATGTTGTACCACAATCATATTCTAAATCAAAAGAAATTCTTCTTAAAGGAAAACAAATCAATTTTTCATTAGAATAATTCAACTTAAGATGATAGCCCGAGGTATAATTTTTCATAAATGACATGATTTTTTTATTTGACACCTCATTAATGATTTCTGTCATCTTCTCCTTGCAAAATACTTTTGTTTTGAAAGAGCATATAAAGCTACCAAGTCTGTTCTTTGAATTCATCTTTTTTATTATTATATTAAAAAAAAACAGCACTTCTATAAATAGATGAATGTTTTATCAAGAGTTTTTCGAGGCATTGAACTTGTCATGCTTTTTCTCCGAATACAAAAAAAAGGGTTCTGCAATCTAAAAAACAAATAATCTGTTTTTTGACTTTAGTTTGTTGAATATCTCTTTCGAGCATCATAATATAAAGATAAAAATCTTAGCATAGTCGTTCTGCTATAGCCTCAATATATCCTGAAAATTTCATTCGATTTGAATGTACCGGGCTGAAGATTAATTTCTGAGATGGCAGAGATCTTAAGGGTGCCCTGCTCTTTCTGTATGTTAAAATAATTATTATTTTATTTTTTCGTGTTTTATTGCTAATATGGTCTGGAAATATAAAGGAGCTGAGAATATGTCTAATGAATTTCTAACACAGTTGGTTTTCAATCATTTTAGTCGAACAAAAAACAGTCCTGATACATATGAGAAAATTTGTCTTTCGTTCTTTTCGAAACCAAATTTTACGCAAAAAGAAGGTTCAAAAATTGCCTCTCTGTTTTTCGATATAGTACGTTCGATCGAACTGAAACTTCTTTTAAAAGGTATTGGATACTGTTTGGAATGCCTGCCTTTTTTGTTTTGAAACATATCGCACCATGGTTTTACAAAAAAAAGTTCTGATAAGAAAATATGTATTTCGGGAAGCACGCTCAGTATTTTGATCTTTTTATTCGAATAGAAGAAACTAAAAAAAACAAGTAGACATCCTAAGCAGTGTCCAGTATCTGTAAAAGAAATTCCAACTCTATCAGAAATATTGCTGCTGAGAAAGTGGAGCGATATTTAGCCTTTGCGATGGAGATATTTTCTCAAAGAAAATATTTGAGAATTTGGAGTTTATGAAAAGTTTTGCTCTACTCATCACGATCTATTTATCTTGAATGTTTCGAATATTTCTAATGAATCGTTTTTCAGAAAGCTCGACAAGGAGAGACTCTTAAGAGAAAACAAAAAATTTACTTTTAACATCAGGTTTTTTTCGATCATTCTCATCTAATAATTCATCTGTATCAATTAAATCATCATCTTCCATTGTCCATGTTTTCTTTTCACCAGCTGTTGATGATGATGTTTGTCCCATACGAGTATCAGTTGTACTTCGTAATGGTACTGAATAACCAATGTCAAATGATGGTTTTTGACATAACCATAATGAACCAAGTTTTTTAACATTATCATCTTTATTTTCAATTAAAAATGATGAATTTGCATCTAATGGATTACAACTACTAAAACCACACATTTTAAATAGATCAATTGTTTGTGATTGTTTTGTATGTTCAACATGTGATATAAGATAACCCATTGGACCAAGTAAACGAAATAATTCATTTAATATATCAATAGTTATTTGTGTATCTCGTTTACTTACAAGACCAAAAAGTATTAAATCAAATGATGATGATAAGCGTTGAGCTATTATTATTTATATAAATAAAAATACATATTTATTTTGTTTTTTACAAAAAGTCTTTATTAAACTTACACTCTGAAAGCATTTCAACATTTTCAAATGCAATACGAGCTTGTTTTGCTTTGGTTTGAATTTTTTCTTGAAACATTGGTAAATTTTCTGGATTAACATCAGGAGCCCAGACAACAAGAATACTTTTAGCACTAGCAAAAATGTCGTCCATTATTATTATTATAATTCAATTTCTCTTTGATATAATCTAAATATAGAGAAAAAAAAGTATTGTAAATAATTGATTTCACACTTTTAATTAGAAAACACATTGAGTAATTTTTCTATTACCAACATAATTATTAGAGAAGAATGACTACGAAAGGAAAGCTTTTCTTTTAAGTCTAAAACAATCAGATGTCTTCTTACAATTGAAGAACTAACAATTAAAAATTACTTTGAAATAAAATCTCAAATCGATATGCTGATCAGTTCTCTAAACCGATGAAACATCAGGATTTCAGACAGGGATAACTATACGTAGTTACATCATGTCAGCATCGACCGGGATTCGAACGTACTATCAAATAATTCACATCCTATAAACCATTCAACTAAATCTTTCATATTAATATAAAAATAAAAATCAAATAAATAACATACGATATATTTATATATCTATATGTATATGTATATGTTTTTCTTTTCTTTATTTCAAAGAGAAAAGAACGCATAAATTGAGTCTATATTAGATAGAGAAGATGAAACACACACACGTGTACAGTACAAACATAAAGACAAGAAAAAACAAAGAAAGAGCAATGGATGATGAAAGCAAGAAATAAGAAACAAGAAAAAAAAAGACAAATGTGTGCATATTGTTAAACCAAATAACAAAAAAAAGGAGGAACGTCGTCGTTAAAGACTAGACAAAAAGACAAAGCAGGTGAAGAAGAAATGAAACGAAAAACAAACAAACAAACAAACAAAAATAAGTCTTTGCTCTTTCTGTTTTTATTCCTTCGATAATCAGCACCAATACAATCTTTTCGGATTTGCTTGCTAATGGATTTTTTTTTGTAGACGTAGTAGAATTCTATGTGTGAGTTTTCTTTTCAGTCACAAACAAACAAACAAAAAAATGTAACGAATTATCTACTCATCTATATTTACACCACCCTTACCCTCAACACATACATACATTTATATATTTATACATATATAAAGAAGAAAAAAAAAGAAAAACGTTTATAAGAACAATGACAAAACTGAATATAAGAGACCAAAAAAAAAAAAAAAGAAAAATCGTAGAGAAATCGGCCGATGTGAATAAATCGACAAAATATTAAACACGCAAATTTTTTTTAAAGCATTTATGCGTGTGTGTGTGTGTTTGTGGTTTTTTTATAAAGAAAATAATAATCAGGAAAAAAAAATATATGTATATATATATATCAAAAAAGAACATATTGTTTTTTTGTTATGTAATAAATAAAGTATATGGTATAGGATACTATTCTCGTATCTTTTGTATATTAAAATTAATTTGAACCATCATTCATCGTTAATTGAGCTGTTCGAGCTGATGCATTTGTTGTCGTACGTTTTGGATATGAACGTAAATATTCATCATCAGCTAATTGATTCACATCAGGCCGATCACGAACATTATATGTTAAACATCGTTTTATGAATGTCTGAAAATGAAAATTATAAAGAATTATTTTTCTTTTTTTTTTTTTGTGAAAGAAATTTTAAATATATCTTACTTTAGCTCCATCGGATACAATTGGTTTAGCTGGAAATTCAATTTCTTTAGCTTTTAATATAGTTTGATTTTCAAGTATAGCAGCTTGAGATTGATTATGGCCATAAGGTTTTCGTCCATATAAACATTGAAAAAAGATACAACCTAAACTCCATACATCAACTTTTGATGAGATTTTAGGTGGATTTGGTCCTTGAACAAATACTTCAGGTGGTAAATACCTATTTTATTTACAAAAATAAATTAATTAATTAAGAGACACTTTATGAGAAGACAGAAGCATTGGTCAGAATTAAAAATTTTATTTTTTTAATGTGCATTCTGAAGGTCATCATCATCTAAGTCCATTAGACTCAAATTTTTAGTGTCATTTAGATATTCTAGAGTAAAGAGTCAGCCTAGATTGACTTTTTACCATTATCTTGAAAATAATGCTAAATTATCTTATAAATGTTTACTAAGATTATACTACTTCCTAAAGTCAGAGAATTTTTTTATGTACTACACTAAAAAATAGAGTATCAACAGCTGAACAAAATGAGCTATTTCAATTATTGTATGTCATCTAAGTATTGAAGTTATCTAATCGAACATGACTAGAAAATGTCACGATATATGAGCTTATAACTGTCAATTTTTCCTTGTATGTCAGCTGCCATTTTTCAAAATCAAATCAGATCAAACTGAATTTTATCTATGTTATGTAACTTTTACTTCTCTACAAAATGTGATTCATAACTCTGTTTTCTATATATTGATTTTTCAATAGAAAACAAAAAAATTTTCGCAGTTTTCATTGTCATGATACAAAAATTGCATTATTGTCAAAAACATTTTAATGAGTTTTTTTTCATACGAAAGTCACTTGTGATCCCTCAGGACTGTATTTTATTAAAGTTTTATCCTGTGTTCTCCCATGAATTAGTTTTTCACAGGGAAAAAAATGTCTCTAAAATGCATTTGACTCAATATAACTTTTTGACATTGATTCTGACATTTACTTTGTCTTACAATCATATCATGGCAATGAAATCTGCAACAAATACTTTTTTCCCATTGAAAAATGACTTTGTAGGAGAGAGATGTGAACGACTTTTTGTCCCGAAGGTAAACCTTTTTCAATATTTTTTTATCATTTTGTAAGCAAACAAAAGTTGCATAATCCATATAAAATTCAGTTTGGACTGGTTTGACTTTGATAAATGATAACAAATATAATGGCAAAAATCGACAGTTATGAACTCATAAATTATGATCTTTTCCACTCAAGTTCGATTATATAACCTTAGCAAATAGATGATATACAGTATTTAAAATAAGTTTATTCTGTTCAATTTTTCGTGCTCTATCTTTTAGTATCTTGCATGAAAATATTCTCTGACGTGTAGAAATGTAATTCTAGTAGACATAAGACAATTTATCATTATTTTCTAGATAGTGAATAGCAAATACTAAAAAGTCGATCTAGACTAACTTTCCTATAAAATATTCAAATGAGCTAAAGATTTCAGTTTTGATAGTTTTAGATACTGACCTTTCAAATGCATATAAAATATATAAATTTTGACCAATACCTCAATCCTTTTATGAATCGTTTCTTAATTTTCGACATAGAAAAAAAGAATTTGTTTTTTACCAATAAGTTCCAGCTCCTTGTGATGTTAAATCCATTCCATGTTCAGGATCATATGTATCTTCACACATTTGTTTACTTAAACCAAAATCTGTTATTTTTATTTCGCCACTACTTGTACCCGAACCCAAGAGAATATTTGCCGGTTTAAGATCAAAATGTATTACAGGCGGCTTGATACCATTATTTAAATAACGTAATGCACTTACAGTTTGCATAACAACAGAACGTGCTTCTTTTTCAGGTATAACTTTATGTTGTTTTAAGAAAAAGTCTATATCATTTCCTTCAATATATTCTAGAACTGTGCAGAATCTAGAGAGACAAAGGAAAACAAAAAACCAATGAATATATTTTTTGTTTGTTTTCTTACGAATCTGTATCGATTTCAAATACATCATAAAGACGAACAATACGAGGATGATCAAGTGTTTTAAGAATGTCACATTCACGTAAAGCATGTCTTGAAAAAAAAAAACGAAAAATATTCGATTAAATTATAAAAAGAAAATAATAATAATAATATTTTACTTGATATAATTTGCTTTCTTTTCTTCTTTCCATTCTTTATTTAGTTGATGAACTTTAACAGCAACATAACGTTGTTCTTTTAAGCAGAAGGCCTTTTAAAAATAAAAATTAAATTTTTCATATTGAATTTTTATTTAAATTAATTTTACCTTATGTACTTCGCTAAAACCACCTTTACCAATCAGACTTAAAAGTAGATAACGATCATTAAGTACAGGATGATCTTGAAATCTAGATAAAATAAAAATATAGATTATTAATATTAGCACGCCGTAGTTTTCATACAACGTTTCAATGATTAGGATTGTCTATATAGACTAACGGAAAAGATTAAATATAATTATAAAATACAATCAGAAGAAAAAAAGAAATTTTTTTTTTGTGTGTATAAGATACACTGGATTTGAGACAAAATGATTATAACATCAGATATCTTACAAATATTTCAAATTTTGCTAAAGTTGAATTAATATGCGCCATAAAAAAAATTCCATTGAATTACTTGACTGATTTTCTTATAGTCAAAAAAATGTCAGAGCGGAGCAAGTACAGATTTTCTCAAGTACGAATACTGACGATTCGGACTACGAGTACGTACTTGTACTTGTTTAGCTGTAAGAAAAAAAAAGTCTTTTTTTTTGTTTCAAATGACGTTTGGTATGATATACTTTGTAAAAACAGTTCACATTTAATAATATAAAAATAATGAGTGTTTAATGGAAAATATGATTCCTGTTATGTTGTTCAACTGAATGAACTGTTTGAAGAAAAGAATTGATTACTTTGTAAACATAATTCGAATGAATTTGTTGATCATGTTTCATTTATTTGTTTTTTTCCAAAAAAACTCATCATTGTAATTCAAAAGACCTTTTCATGCAGAAATATTAGACAATTCTATGACACATATTAAAAATATGATTTAAACTTTTTTGATTTGGGGATGATAAACTACATAATTTTAGTCTTATAAGAAAATATTTTAAACAAGTCATTGGGATTATTTAGTATCATTTTTATAGAGCACTTCACTATGTATCGTAATTCAATGTTATAAAATTTGTCTATATTGAAATATTGTTAAGGCCCCCCCCCCCCCTCAAAAATCTATCTCAGCCCAAGAACATCCAAATTGCATGAAACTTTCAGGATATATTGGAGCTGGAAAGGGGAGACTACCATAAAATTTTCGGCCCGAAATCTTCAGGTTTTAGGCAGATATGAACCAAACAAGGGTCAAAAATGACTCATTTGGCATCCCAAATTTTTCGGTCCTGGTTCGTTCAATATATTAATATTTTTTGTTGTTGGAAAGAGCATCTCAAGATTCAGGGCATGATGGGGCCGTTTTTTTGAAATAGTCCTTTTTTAAGCGCAAAAAAGAGATCACAAGTTCAATTACTGAAAAAAGTGTCAAAAAATGGTAACCAAATCATATAGCTGGCTGTATATTGACCAAACAAAGGCTTAATTTAAAAAAATGGCCCCATTATGCCCTGCGCCTTGAGATGCTCTTTCAAGCAAAAAAAAGAAATTAATACATTGAACAAACCGGGAAGGAGAAATTTGGGATGCGCTTTTGAGATATCGTGAATCGAGAAAAAACGGAAAACTTTTTTTGATTTTTCAAAAAAACAGCTGGTTTTTCGAATAGGGGGTGTCGAAAATCTTTGAAAATTTTGGTCAAAAAGGAGATATCGGAGAAAACTTTTTATCAGGTATGAAAAAGCAGAACTCGGGCTATCTTCCCATGTATTTATCTCAGTTTTGATGATTCTGACGAAAATTGACTTTTTTTGAGGGGGGGGGGGAGGCCTTAAATCACCGTCATTGCTCATAAACTAATAACAATAATTATACAATTTTGTCTTTTTTTTCTATTATTCTTTTCTTATCGTATTTCATATTCAAGGGTATTTCGAATCAAACAGGTGTGCATGTATACTACTTGATCTCCGCTATACAAACATATNTATTTGTGAACAAAATTTTAAGTCGAAATTCCCTAATTTCATTTTTACAGTAAATACCTCGAGATGGATAGAAAATTCAGTAAAACGGTCATAACTTTTGATAGAAGAAGCAGGAACCCAAATCCTTTTAGGGTATTTACTATCTCAATATGCTCACTTAAATGAGATATAAATGAATCAAAACGGGAGGTTACACCTCGGGAAGTTCCCTCGTTAGTTGTCTTACTTCTTTTTTATTTATACGAGCAAATTTTCAAAACAATCATCTCTAACTATAATGTAGAAATTTAACTCTTTTTCTATGTGATGATTATTTTTTCTAATTGCTTCATTTGGATGTTTTCTAACACATGCCACTCACTTGTATTGATTAATGAACACAGCTGTTATACTTGAACTCAATATGATCCATTTTTAATAGTAATGCACATACCAAAACTTACTGTATAATGTGTTATGTCAAACCAATTGATTGTCTGACTGGCTGATAAATTTCATGATCAATGGTTTAGAGGAAATATCCCGATCTCCTGAATTTCACAGTTATTAGACTTAATATCTTCGATTTTCTTTTTATATAAGCATACGTATCAAAATAAATTTGTTTTTTTTTTCTTTAGTGCAATAAAAAAGCTGATCAACTTGATCATTCTCTTCAAGATCTATCACGTCGTGTACGCGATTCATCATCATTAAATACAACATCAATATCATCACGTTTAACATTTAATAAAGAAATATTTCAATTTAATGAAAATATATCGCAAGCAAATATATCACAATGGCGTCGTGAATATCAACGTAATCAATTAAAAGAATTAAAAACAATATTAATTGAATTAGATAAAGCTGATAGTAAAAATCAAATAACTAAAGCAGTTGAACAATGTCGAGATATTTTAACTAAATATCCTGATCGTAAATGTTTAATTGCAAATTTTGAAATGGGTAATGATACTAAAAATTTAAGTACAGTTATCAATCAAATCCGTACACAATCAACGGATGTTGCTATTATGTTATTCAGTGTTGATCATGAAACAGATAAATTTGTTTGCCTTGCTAATGTATCTGATGTATGTAAATTAGAAAAAGAAAAATATTTTATTTGAAAAATTAAAACGAATAATTTACTTATTTATTATAGGTTCAAGTTAAAGAAAAACACTTAAAAGCTAATGAATGGGTACAAAAAGTAATTGCTGAAGCAAATGGACGTGGTGGTGGTAAAGATACTCAAGCTCAAGCAACAAATTGTGATGCTAAACAACTTGATCATTGTGTTCAATTAGCAGAAGAATTTGTACTTCTCAAACTCAATTCGAGCAGTTAAAGACATAAAAAGAGTAGAGAAAAAATCGTTTTAAATTTCATCATATACTTAAGTTTTATTCCGGTTGTTTAACACGTTTGTTCTTTCGACTAAGAAATAAAAAGAAAATACAAATAAACAAGAAAGGAAACAACTTTCTGATGTTTCTTTCGGTTTCAGATCGTAGGTGTTTTGTTGTTCTTTTTTTGATAATGTAAGAAAGCTAATGTCAATACGTTCAGTGAGAATTTTAATCAATTCGTTTATTAACCGTCCATACACACACTTCAGATCATTTACTAAGTCATCTTGCCTTTTCAACAAATCAACAACATCACACCGATATCAACGTCAATTCACAAAACGTGAATCCAATCTACATAAACAATTAATTCAACGATATATGGCTACTCCAATGAACGATAATAATGTTGAAAAACTTCTTGAACCATTTCGCGCAGCAGTTAAAGTTCAAGTAAGAGAAAGAAAAATATGATATTTTATTTTAAGTCTTTATGTTTTATTTTTATTTTTTTAGGGTGATCTTGTTAAACAAATGAAAGATAATAATGTTAACAAAGAAGATGCTGAATTTAAACAAGCTTTAAATGAACTTAAAATACGAAAAAAAACACTTGAGGATCAAGTAAAAGAAAAAAAAAATAGAATCAGACATTCATTGATCACTAATTTGTATTTTTTATTTTCTTCGAGATTACAAAATGTATGCCAAAAGAAGAAAGTATTGATCGATTAAAAATGGAAGATTTACTCAAACGAAGATTTTTTTATGATCAATCATTTTCAATCTATGGTGGTGTTAATGGTCTTTATGATTATGGTCCAATGGGTTGTGCAATCAAAGCTAATATGTTAGCAGAATGGCGTCGACATTTTATTCTTGAAGAACAAATGCTCGAAGTCGATTGTTCTATATTAACACCAGAAATCGTTCTCAAGTATATAAATAAATGAGATTATTGTGAAACACGATCTAAACGAAGTGTTGAAGTATGGTGGGCTGAAATTTCGACCTACTCTCCCTATAGACATGAAAGACACTTTAGCAACGACTCATTATAAACTTAACAAGAGATGCAAAATCTATCTTAAAGTGTAAATTTTTCCCGAACGTGAAGATAGTGTCAAGAATTCATACGGATTCGATAGTGTCCGAAAGCGTCCTCAAATGCAATAGATTTTCAAAAATTTTCTCCGAACACGCAGGAGTAGATTGTACACCTATGGCCATGATAGACATATTACAGGGTTGTTACAGACACTACGTAGTTAAAGACTATTATAGGTAGTGACAGACACTCTTCAGGAACCCTTACAAACAGCGATTGACGCTTTAGTAACTTCCCTTTTTTCCTTCACAGACGTTGCTTATATACAATTAAAGGTCGTACATTAGTAACATCTCGTTATAATATGTGAACTACTTCCTTATTGTATTTCTAGAGGATTAGGTAAAATGATGCTGAAGATATGCCTCTAAAAATAGATATAATAAAATAATTTCACTGTAATTAGAAACAGCAGCTACATCGTGTTTCACATTTAAATCTTATACAGATTGTACTAACAGTTTTTTCTTTACAGAGCATCAGGTCATGTTGATCGATTTGCTGATTTTATGGTTAAAGATGTTAAAACAGGTGAATGTTTTCGAGCTGATCATTTAATTGAAGGTAAAATAAAATTAAGCAATCTATTTTGTTTATTTATTTCATTTAAAAAAAGCTCATCTTGAAAAATTACTCAAAGCAAAAGATATAACCAGTGAAAAGAAAACTGAAATTGAACGTTTATTACCACAGGTAGATTATTAAATATTAAAAAAGAAAATTTGAACAAATTTTTTATGTTTAAATAAGATTGATAATATGAAAGGACCAGATATGCAAAAAATAATTGAACAATACAAAATGAGATCACCTATAACAAATAATGATCTATCAGAACCTGTTTCTTTTAATTTAATGTTTGCTACTTTGATTGGTCCAACTGGTCAATTAAAAGGGTTAACTTATTTAATAGAAACTAATAATGTTGATAAATTTTAACATTTTGTTTAGTTTTCTTCGACCAGAAACAGCTCAAGGCATGTTTGTTAATTTCAAACGTTTATTAGAATTTAATCAAGGTCGTTTACCATTTGCTGCTGCTCAAATTGGTAATTCATTTCGAAATGAAATTTCACCACGTTCAGGTTTAATTCGTGTTCGGTATGTTGTTTTCACTTTTTCAAAATAGATCAAAATATAGAAAATATACACTTGAAAAAAAGTAATAGGCCACACTACAAAATAAAGCTCTCCTGAGTTTTACTAATTGATAATGTAATTAACAAGTTGCGTTCAAATTTAGTAGTGTCGATAAACAGATAGTAGCTTCTAGAATTTATTCTTTTGGAATTTTTCTATAACTCCTGTTAGATATGATATCATTAAACGAAAGAAACCAGACTGCGGATAAAAAAATGATTCTTTAGAACTATGACTATTTTTTGATACAGTTAGAATATGTTAATAGGATATATCCATATAAATCTGGTGCTTGAAATGAATTCCAGTGACTGCTCATTAAACCAAACGATTCATTGGATCATTCTTCATTTCGTTCTCAAAGGCAGACATTACTCTATATTCGTGTCATGCCAATTTGTTTTTGAATAGTTCATAATCAATGAGATTTCAAATTTTGTTATTGAGTTTGGATGCATACAAGAGATGGGATCGGCTCGGTTCGCAACTGTTTAAATCTATCCTATCTTCAGTACATGTCCAGTTAGAAGAAACAAAAATTATATACAACAAATTAGTTGCTCTATCATTTCTTTTTGTTTTTGCTTTCAAAACATAAGATAAATAACATTTTCAATACGACTGATAAAGTGCCTCATTATTTCAGAATTTGGAAATGAATTAGCATTTTAATTTATTATCTTGAAATGATATGTCAATCATAGAATTTCTAATCATTCAACACATCAATCTTCGCTATCGAATCAATGAATAATTTTGTTTTTAGTGAATTTACTATGGCTGAAATTGAACATTTTGTTGATCCAACAGATAAGAGTCATCCAAAATTTGAAACTGTTGCCAATCTTAAAATTCAATTATATTCAGCATCAAATCAAATGAGTGGTGAATCACCTCAATTAGTACGTGTAGGTGATGCTGTTCGTTCAAAATTAATTAATAATGAAACTCTTGGTTATTTCATCGGTCGTATTTATTTATTTATGACGAAAGTTGGTATTGATAAACAACGATTACGTTTTCGTCAACATATGAGTAATGAAATGGCTCATTATGCATGTGATTGTTGGGATGCTGAATGTAAAACAAGTTATGGTTGGGTTGAATGTGTTGGTTGTGCTGATCGATCATGTTATGATTTAACACAACATACAAAATTTAGTGGTGAACGTCTTGTTGCTGAAAGACCATTAGCAGAATCAAAAAAAATTGAACTTAGTGAAGTACAAGCACATGCAAATGTTATTGGTAAAACATTTGGTAAAGATACAGGTGTAATAACACAGCATCTACAAAAATTATCTCATGATGATGCACGAGTTTTACATGATAAACTTGAAAAAGGGTAAAATAGATTTATATTTTCTATATCACAAAAAAAGAAAATGATATTTTGTGAAACACGATCTAAAAGGAATGTTGAAGTATGTAAGATAGAAATTTCCACCGGTTCTCATAGACCATAAGGAAACTATGGACTCTACTAGACCAGAGCTTAGCATTGGATGACGAAAATGAATTATAAAAAACTTTAGTTTGATTAATTTATATCAATAGTTTTGATAGAGTCTACCAAGATGTGTGGGAATGTATACATCCACGCTCTCATTAACAATGGTAGACCCTGATTGATCATTTAAATAAGTCTCTTATATAATTTATAGAAATTTTGAATTATTTTGTAATTCATTTGTATCATGAACTTGGACCCCGAAATTTAGCTTCTGTCAGTTTTAGATCTGAGAAAACGTGGACTCACAGCTACTTAAACTGATTGCATAGAACATATTCTTGTTTGATTTCGTTTACATAAATAAGACTAAAACTATTCTATACAGTTGACGACTTTGGTGTTACTGTTGGTTCGCCGAGTTTTAACTGTTCAATTTTCTTTTTTGTTAACATAATGTGGTTTTCAACTAAGCAAAAAATGTTCATATGTTAAGCATCTAATAATGAGAAAGTGGACAACAAGAAAAAAAAATGTACATCGACTTTTTCTCTAAGAATAGCCAATAAATAACTAAAATCATGAGCCTTCATTTGTTGATATACACAGAAGATGGCATATATTAATAGAAAAACTTTCAAGCACAGCTTCTACAGATCATGTATCAATAAGATTTCATTATAATATATGAACTACTTTCTTATTATATTTCGGGAAGATCAAGTTAAATGATTATGAAAACATATATCCCAAAGTAGATATAGAATAAAACAATCCGCCTATGATTGATTAGTCAAAGCAGCTACGTCGTGTTTCATATTTTAATCTCGTAAGGATTGTGCTACCAAAGGTTTTCATTTATTCTAGCGATGAAAAAATTACTATCGATGGTAAAGAATTTAGTATAACAAGAAAAATGTTTACATTTCGAACATTTGAAAAAACAGTACAAGGTAAATAATTAAAAGAAATATTTTCTTATATAATTATAACATATAAATTTTAGTTGAAGAATACGTTCCATCAGTTATTGAACCATCATTTGGTATTGGTCGTATTATGTATGCTATGTGGGAACATAACTTTCGAATTCGACCAGAAAGTGAACAACGAACAGTAATAGAATACTTTTTATATTTTGTTTTTATAAAAATTTTTAATTGAAATCTTTTAGTATTTTACATTACCACCATTAATTGCACCATATAAATGTGTTATTTTACCATTGAGTGGAAATGAGGAATTTAAACCATTTGTTAGAGATATTTGTATGTTTCATTTTTCCTTATTTTGTTTTTTTGATCATTTTTGTTAATAATGAATCTTATTTTAGCTGCTCTTCTAACACAAGGTGGTATTTCTCATAAAATTGACACGAGTAGTGGTAGTATTGGTCGACGTTATTCACGTTCAGATGAAATTGCAATACCATTTGCAATTACAATTGATTTCGATACACTTCAACAACCATACACAGTCACATTACGTGAACGTGATACATTTAAACAAATTCGTGCTAAAGTAATTTTTTAAGTCTGTCTCTCTCAAGGACTTGATCTTGAATCGAGTGCATTTCAATCATATGAAATTTTTAGAATATACTTGAGCTTTAGTGAAGAAGCTGCAATACACCGTTTGGTCTAATATTATAACGTAGTGCATTTGTACTCTATGGATCTTTCTTCTATAGATATTAATTTTTGCTTTTATTTGAAAGAGCATGTCACACACTAAAGCGCCCCTTTTTTAAACTCTTAGTTTTTATATGCAGAAAAAAAAGATGGTAAGTTAAATAGTTCGAAAAAAATGATCAATTATTTATACAAGTACTTTTTTATCTAATAATAAAAGGGCTTAATTAAAAAAAAATGCATTACAGTTGCACATGCTCTTTCGAAACAAAAATTTACTACAATGAAGTTCCTTCGAAAATTCTGAAATGTGCGAATATAAGCAGAGAAAAAAAGGGAAAATTCATTTTTCGCTTCTTTCTGAAAAAAAACAGCATATTTTTCAAGTGGATGATAGCAGAAAGAAGTACCAAATAAAAAAAAAACATGTCCTTTATGTCAGATCAGACTCCAGACTATCATCTCAATGTCGATTTCTTCTGATGTAAATTGATTTGTTTTTGAAGGGTTGCCTTAAGACGATATATTGTTTGATTTTTTTTTCAATTATATTTTATAGATTGATGAAATGACAAATATTCTTCAAGGCCTTTCAATTGGTACAATAACTTGGGGTGAAGTATGTTCGCACTATCCAGAATTCATTGAACAACAAACAACCCACGCACAACAATAAATTTTCAAAAATATCGGACTTGTCATTGTTATTGTTATCCATCTCTTTTCTTTTCGTTTAGTCCGATGTTATTTTTTGTCTCTGAAAAAAAAAAAATAAAAAAGAATCATATTTAACAATCCATAAAAACCAGCTGGTGCCTTAAACTAAAGAAAAACACAAAATGTTTAAGAAAAAAAATATACAAACTCATATGTAACTTAGCAGTAAGAAAGTAGAAGAATACATTTCTTCTATACTCAATAATTAATGGTTGATATATTAATAAATACTTTCAGTGAGGTAAGAATAATTATAGGTTATCGATATATGTATTTCATCAATTTTTTATGGATGTATAATCATATACACCTGTAGACGTTATAAAAGAAAAAGGATAATGTCGAAAATAAGCAGCATTCGTTGTTCGATTAGTCTTGCTTTATATATATATATAACATTCCTTGTCTGTTTTATTATTCCATTATATGATCATAGAAGGAGATGTCGACATTCAATGATGATAGTCGGACAAAAAGTTCAAATATTAATTGTAATGATTGGAAATCTGTTCGTGAAACACATCAATCTGGAGAACTTGATAAACAAAACGTTATAGATCAATCGGAACAAAAACGCCAACGTCGACCTGTTTTAACTAATACATCGACTGTATCAACGAAAGCAAATGTACCGAGTCAAAAACATCAAGTTCGTCAATTAGTTGATCGTGCTCGAGAACTTCAAAAAGGAATTGTACCAGATCTTCTTCTCTATCAAATACCAACAACCTATTCACCATTTTCAGCTGTAACACCAAGTTCAAATGTTAGCCGAGGAAGTATATCAGCAAATCCATTTCGACAAAGTATTTCAATTAGTTCAGCTTCATCAAATTCTTCTATAGCTAATCAAAAATTGAATTTATCATCAAGATTTCTTGAACGAGCTCATCAAATACCTGAAAGGTTAGCTGCAAAATAAAACAAATAGTTATATCAAAAAATAAATTTATAAAAAATATTTTTTTCGCTAGATTTTGGATAGATTGGCAACAAAAACAAATGCAAGATCGAATAGAAGAATTGGAATGTATTAAAAATAATATTGGTTGCAGTTCATGTTCATCATTAGTTTCTAATGAAACTGATGAAAATGCAATAGATATTTCAAAATTAGATTATCCTACTAGTTATGAAAAACTTTATCGACAAAGTCTTCTATATTTACAAGAAGCACAAAGATTAACGAATGAGCATAGTGTTAATCTTGCTCAAACAACAAATGCTGATACAAAAAATACTAAAGATACATCTGATATGTCTGATGAAGATGATCATCATTCGTTTAATTTTGATCAACGATCAGAAGAAACTCTTGACACAGCACATTTAAATGATCTCAATGCAATTCCATCTGGTTAATATCTGTTTTCTTTTTTCGTTGCTGCTGTTTGCTGTTTATAATCAATGTAAAAATAAATACTATTTTTAGAACCATCGATTTCGATGCCATCTGTTCAACAATCTCAATCAAATGTTGATCGTTCTCGTTCAACAATATCTTTACCATTTACATATACACATACACGAGAATTACCAATAATTCGTACTAATTATCGTCAATTATCCATTGAACCAATGCTAGAAAAGGTCACTGACATTAATGACAATGATTTGATACAAACAACTTCATCGAATAATAACAATGATGATGTAGCACAAATCGATACTGAATTTAATCTTACATTAATTAAACGAGAACATCCAAAACAAATCAAACCATTATTATATTCCAAAACAACTGTCAATCGTAGTATTGAATTTCGTAAATTTCGACCGATGTCATTTGAGAATAAAAAGACATCATTAAAAACAAATCAAACAATTCTTATTCCAGTAATGTATTGAAATGATATATTAACTTATACAGAGAATATAATATTTCATTGATAGAGAAAAAGAAAATATCTTTGTATTTTGCAAAATAAAAACTAATCGTTTTTGTCTAAGGAATTATTTCTTTGTTTTCATTTTTCTTAAATTAGGTATTGAAAAGAAAGGAGATACATGATAATCGATCATCTTCACCGGTACGCTCCTTTCAATCACCTCGATTAGGATTCGCATCCGACGATCATGGCAAACGTCTTAATCATGATATTCGATCTATTCCAAGTTTGTAGTTTAATTTTTAATTTAAACTTCATTTCAAATGTTTAATGATATTTATCTATATTATTAGTTGCACGAAAATGACACATGATTGTATGCCCTCTGGGCAGGTATTGTTTATTGTGTATTACACTAGTTTCGGGATAGGATTCTTTTTTCTTTTAATTCATAAATGCACGCATATATCGGACTGTGAGAACAGTTTATTTTACGTTGAAATGTGTCACTTAAGATGTATACATTATACACAAAATTCTAACAACAGACTGAGTTAGATAGTTTGCTTGTAAAAAGACGAAAAGTATAGTGAAACCTTATATGCTTGGTTTATGTCTTCACTCTTTAAAGCTATGTCAATAGGAAGCCTATTATATATACTGAATCGAGGTATGGTGATTCTGACGCTTTTAAAATTAGAAAAAAAAACCACAGTCGTAAAGACATGTTTTACTTTCACCATTTAAAATAGATATATAATGTCCTTTCCTTTCATATTTTCAAAAAGAGTTTATTGATATTATTATTTATTCATTGTTTTTATTTTCTTTTGTTTCTTTTTGTTTCTTTTTCTCTTTTCATTTAGACATATCTTCATTATTCTTTTCTTGTCCTTCTCAACCTACACCATCACATATTATTTCGACAATCATCCCATATTGTACTTATAATAATTATTATCCTTTACTCAAGCAAGTGTCATCCTATAATTGCAATTGTTGTACCAAAGATCTATCAATGAACATAGTTTACGATACAAAAGAAAACTACAGATCTTCTTCATTTTCGTCTGGTTCGTTTATGCCCTCGGAAGAAGAAGAAGAAGAAGACAACCTATCTTCCCGACGTTCGTTGTTGACCTATCGCCGTCGGCAACGAAAACGAAAGCAAAAAACAAACACATCAAATTTATCTCTAGTATCAACAACATCATTAAAAAACAATCTCACATTACTCAACGATTCATTTTATTGTGCAAAAGAAAACAATAATAATAATAATAATCATCATCATCCAACTAATAGCACAACAACATTGAACAGTTTTCATAATTCTTCAATTCTTTCTAGTAAAAGAACATTTAAATGGAAACAGAATGATAGTGGTTTTCATCGAGACATGCTTTCTAACGATAGCGATGACGACAACCAACAAGTCACGCGTTCTTTATCATCATCAGCTGCATCGACGGTAGACCGCTTTATTCGACGTCAATACAGAAAACAAACAAGGTTAAAAAGGAAAACTGAAAGTAAGAAAAGAAAAAAGAAGAAAAAGAAAAGGAAGAAGGAACGAAACAAAAAATCACCATCATCAACTACTAGAGCAGAAGCGACAGAAGCTTCTTTATTTCAGTATTTTGCTGTCGACGTTCCTACAATCGACCCGAACGCCACTTTTTATCCCTATGAGCAGGCAAGGTATGCTGACAAGAATACAGCAAAAGAAATAACTTGCTTTTTAACACAAACATCATTAGAACACCAACAACGGCAAAAGCACGAGGTACATATACCACCATATATAAATATGTAGCTTTTTTTCTTTTCTTTCTTGAAATCTTTTCGATTTAAGTCAAAAACATGTCACTTAGTTTTTTATTTCTACTTTCTTTTTAGTCTAAGTTACATTTAGCCATGGCTGATAGTCATGGTAGTACAAAAAATTCTAATTCAATATTAAAGAAAAAAAGTATTCGTGTTTTTATTCGTCGTCGTCGCCGCACGATGAAACGTGGAAAACGTATTTTTCTTCATGCATCACCATCCATTGATTTACACAAATCAATGTCATCATCATCGAATAATGTTCAAGAATTAGTTTCAATAATAGAACGAAAAATAAATAACAAACAAGATAAATTTCGACATAAGAAAAATATTATTGTGGTTAATTATAAACCTGTTTTTGTTAATAATCATGAAGAAAAATCCTTTCAAAATACTAAATCAACATCAAATCCAATATCTAACACAAAATCTATTCACACTGATGATGATTTTTCATCTCCAAGTCATTATAGTCGACAACCTAGTTTCACAACAGTAACATCCGATGGTTTACCGTTGCGTTCAATGTCGAATAGTTCACATTATCAACGATCACTTTCACTTGACGTACCTGATGTTGAAGACCCATTAAAATTTATTGAAATAATGTATCAACAATTATTTACTGAAGATGGTCGTTTACGTAGTGAAACAGAACCATCAGCATTTGCAAATTGTGTTCAACAAATAGTAACGAATTCAAGAAGAAATTCTGTATCATCAGCATTTACAAATCGATCCACACCATCACATTTAAAACATATGAATCATGATACAAATTATCAACAACGAAAATTTTCATCATCTTCAAATAATCATCATCATCATCGTATTCAACCATTAAAAGCTATTTCATTATCATCATCACCTCATATTATTCTTAGTGAACATTCTAATACATATAGTGAAGAGGAAGAAGAAGAAGAAGAAGAAGAAGGAGAAGAAGAAGAAACTCAAACGTTCATGCGAACAAATAATCGACATCCAATAATCAAGACTGATAATGGTACACCTCGACAGTAAATAGATACTTTTCGTTTTTTTTTCTATTGTTAAAACGATAATATTATTTACATTTTAGAAATACCGATAATCATTTTCAACATCATACATCTCCAAATTGGCATCATCCAAGAGAATTATTAAAAAATCACCCAGCAACAGGAGGTAATGGTTTCCGTATATCTATAGATGATACGGGTAGTGATGATCTTGATACATTGTCTGATGTTGATTTTATGCACTTTAATAATATAATAATGCAAGCATCACCCAGTGGTGATGAAGATTTAACACATACAGATTCAAGACAATTATCATCTGGTTATCAATCATTAGATCGTTCAAGAAAATCTGTTGAACCACAAAAATCAATAAAATTGAAATCTTATTCAGAAAATGATTTATTTCATTCTGAAAATAAAAATCATATTCATTATTGTACAAATTGTATACGTTCACCAAATGTAATTGTGATACCACCTATAACATCAACATCACTATCATTAACAAATATCATTAAACGAATACAACAACCAATTGGAAAGATTTTAATGAAATATGTTAATTTTATTCTTATTTCAAAAAATGTTCTTCTTTTACCATTATTTATTTTTCTTCTACGCCAACGATCAATTCATATAGGAGTTTAGAAAAAAACCTTAATCTGATGTAAGAATAAATTTTTTCATTGTATTAATTTAATCCGTCCAAGACGTCTTCACTTAACTCCTTTCTTTTTCTCCTTTCATAAATGATTACAAATCTCACATTGTTTTTTGTAAATATCTACTACTCTTCATGTTTATTTCGATTAATTGTCGCCGATACCCTATGCAATAATTCAACCATGAACAGAAAAAATGACCAAACGATGTAGAACTTTGAATATAAATATTTTTCTTTGCATACTTGATTAACATACCTATGGTTTTACTTTCTTCTTCTTATTTTTTTTTCACTTGTATATGATTGATTACGTTGATGATTTTTTTTTTCAATACTACGATTTCGAGTGCTCTCACTGATGAAGAACAGTAAAAAAAGCTAAACATTGCACATGTACTTTATCTTTAGTTGTGTAGAAATTTTAACATAATTGAAAGAAAAATCTTGACAGATAGATTTTTTCCTTCTTCTTGATCTTATGAAAACATTTGTACTTTTGAAATCATTCAATTACATTTATTAAATGCATTTAGATATGGAATATTTAATAGACATATATATATATGTATATATACAGCTTTTTTCAATTATTGTTTGAACCTTAAAAAATGAAATTAAATTGTAATATTGAGAGTGAATTGTTTTTTTTTTCTAATTGAAAAAAAAAGACAAGGTTATTAAAACTGAAAACACATTTAAATAATCTATGATAAAAGTGCGCAGTCGTCTATGAAAACTTGAATCGTATAATTACTTTTGGCTGAAAGATAACAAATCTTTACATCTTCATTTTCAAGTATCTCCTGGCAAATGAGATGTCTATCTAAAAAGATATTATTATTGACGTGAAAATGTACATTATTTTGAAATTTTTCATGATGAAAGAAAATCTCAATACCATAATATTTATCCACATATAGTTAAATAATAATAAAAACGTTTGATTCATCACATGGAAAAAAAAAAAAGAAGAAATTTATTTATGGATTGTAACCGAAACTATTATATATAATTAAGAGTATTTTACTGTATATTGACAACTATATTTTATTTGTATAAATTTATATGAAAGAATATAAATCTAAAATATAAAGACATGTGTATCGTTCTAGACAACATGTTCGAATGAATAGCATTTCAATATGTTGCACGTTGTTACAAAGAAAAAACGATTCTAGATGCATTATAAAACATAATAGAAGACGATTATTTTTCATATTAATGTTTTTTTGAAGTATTGAAAAACCTTTTTTGAATTTGGTTGGAAAACGAACCAAAAAATGACTACAATAACTATATCAAACAAAATCTATCCATGCAAAAAATGTAACCAGACTTTTTAAAGAAATAAATAATAAAATTAAAGAATTTCATGTTGTGACATATAGACTCATCTTTTCTTATCTGACACTCACATGTGAACCATACCGGAAATTTTCTATAGTAATTCTTTACGACACATTTATTTTGAATAGTGTTGTTTTTTTTTTATTATGATTGGTAGGTGAAAAACCTTTGTGAAAGTTATAAAAATTTTAAAGATTTTCATAGAATAATAATGAAAAATTTGTTACTATTGCTTGTTGCTTTTAATAATTTTCCGACACTGAAATATTTGGTAAATTTTTAATTAAACGTTACTTAAATAGTTTTTCGGATATTACCTTAAATTCAATATTTTTATAGCATAAGGCGATGTTAGAACAATGATCTAACACACTGAAGTCAATCAATAGATTTTATTCATCTATTGATTTAAATTGTTTTCACAATCTGTTGACTAATTTTTACTAGAGAAAATCTTTTTGATGTAGACATCACACTATTTTCAATAGTATAATTTTTCTAAACTTCCATCACTCAACATAGAAGATCCTGGATCTTCTATTATGTTCAAACTCACAAAATTTTCGATGGAATTTTTCTTTTATGTTTTATATATTTGCAAAATTTTTCATAAAAAATGGTTTCTACGAAAAAACAATGCGACACTAAGGATTTACGGAAAGACTTCTAATGTTTTAAATGTCTGGAAATGAATTTTTACGGATTATCAGCTCAAAACTCCAGAAAATAGTGAAGCTCAGTGTGGGTTTAATGAAGAATATTCAACTGTATTAATACCATACCATACGGAGTGATCACATCGATGTATAGTTAATCATGATTTGATTTTGTCCAATGGTTTTTTTATTATGCTTTTTATTCGAAATATTTGCTTTTACAACAATATCGATAATACACATACCTTGTTATTGATATTTAAAGGTTTCATTTTCATGATGAATTGTAATAGAAACTGATTCTAGGTCGAGCCTCTAATCATGCAACATAGGTATGATTGATTTCATATGATCAAAAGGTCATATAATCAAAAGATAAATACCAAAGACAAAAATAATCCCTTTCTTTCTAAGGTCTTCTCTCATAGCTTATCATTGAAAGAATACTCTTTGGTAAAAAAAAACAATCCAGTTTTTTAACCTTAGTAAAGTATAAAGAGAAAAATATGAAGATGGAATTTCAATTTGATAAGGATCATTTGCAAACATCAAGATACCAATACATTGAAATCAATCTATAACTAATTTCTCAATTATCAAAGCTAACTGAATAAAATTGATACTATCATTAAAAAAAAACGAATCTTATCGATATTAATTACAAACAAGTTTCTTCTTTTATGTAAAAGGACAACAAAGACAGTAGACATTTCTTTTTAATATATTCTTTTGAAAATGAGATTTTCTTGTTGCAATAAAACTATCAAATACCATTAGCGAGGAAACATTTTTAACTGATCAATCGCTTTTTCACCAAAAACTACTGAATTATTGGTTATAGATCATGCGAATTCAGAATATGATCATGAGAAATCTCTTTTAATATTTATATGCTGATTTTTCAGACTAGCAAACATTTTGCTAACATCATTATTGATTCACTCAAGTTATAGAGCATATCGAATTGTCTACAGGTGAATAATATTTCCTATTTTCTAAAAATCATTTTGAAGATTCTTAAATTGATATGTATATATTATATGGATAAAAATGACTGTATTTTCTGAAGAAAAAAGATTTAAAACAGAAAACTTGTTCATTTTCTACACCATTCGATATCCTTTATAATCTGGACAGATCGAACAAAAATTTTGGCAGTTCAGAGAACCAGTATATGACCACAGTGTTGAAGTATATAGCATAGAAATTTGTACCTTCTACAGGTCATGGCAAACTTTGTTGATATACAATCAAACATCATATATCAAGAACATCTCGTTATTATATATGATCTATATTCTTATTTTATTTCTGAAAGATTAAGTGAAATGATGGTGAGGGAAATATATCTCAAAATAGATACAATAAAACAATCTTTCTGTGATTAGTAAGCACAGCTGCATCCTGTTTTATATTTTAATCCCGTAGGGATTGCGCTATCAAACTTTCAAAGCAATAAATATCCATCTATTTGATCATTAAATATAATACGAATCATTTATGTGCTATAATGCAAGAATAATAGATGCAATTATATGATAATATAATTCATATCATTTATTTTAATGCATTGTTAGTCAAATGATGCATAAAAAAAAACATGAAACAAAGTGCATCTATTATTTACACATTTTTGTTTTTTTTTAAACTAATCTGTTAGAAAGCCACATCGAGCGATTATGATATAGATTCCAAGACACCAATATTATATTCTTAGTTATGATGATTTTTGAAAAATTCAAAACATCAAACAAAGCTTTATTAAATATTTGAATTGCACTTTTCTTTCTAAATTTTTTCAAGGATTATATAGTATAAAATATTTCTTCTCACATAATAAAACTTAGATTGCTTCCTGGCATGATAACATAAGTAATTGAAGCTATTATGAGTGAGTTTTTAAAAATAGTTAAATGTATTATTGCATGAAAGAAACATATAGATTACTGCAATTTTTTTTCTAATGTAAAATGAACACTTTATTAAGCAAAAATAGTATGTAGGTAACATTCAGTTCTTTTGGTACTATTTTTAAAACATGGCAAATATTCTTTCGACAAAATTTCCAGAGCAATCCAAAATTGACAGAATAAAATCTATCAGGAAAAAAAACGGCAATATATTCAAGTGCACTTATTCATTTTCAACTACTTATCATTGTATAAAATTTTATTACAATGTGATATTTATTTGATAATGTCATTTTACTAGACTGATACTTGAACTGATTATTAGCAGTATAAATAAATTCCTTGAAAAACAAAACCTTGTTAGACATCTAGACATCACATACTTATAAAGTACAAATAGATAAAATTTTTACGACAATGTGTTACTAAAAATAATTCTATTATTGAAATAAAATGATTTATATAGAAACAAAAGGCATATGTCTTATCCTTACAAAACAATCATCGAATTAGATATTATTCGATCAAATATTTAATACTAAAAGATGAATAATTTGTCCGGCATATATACAAGACAAAGTATTATTCATAGATAAGTAAATAATTATTATAACGTAATATAGATAAGAAAATGACTATCTTTTGAAATTTTATTCATACAATTAGATACAAAATACATCTTGCTTCTTTTTTTTGTGCCCTACGATTCATGAATTGAAGTAAATAAAGTAGGAGAATGAAATAACGAAGAAAAAAAAAGCATTAAAGAACGACGTATACTTGATCTCTCTTACTATGTCAACATGTAAAATGCGAACGAGAGAAAAATGCACACGTATAACGTGTTATCGCCAACATTCACTCTTCTTTACATTCAAACATGCGTTGTATTGATAGTCTTCTACATCAAGTTTTTCTTGTCGTAACGTTACTGCATATTATTAATGCAGTTCATTCAAAAACGATTGAAAATGATCTTTCAAAATCAATTCTTGATTTTACACTTGGATTTACTCGTCATCATTCATCATCAAATGTTGCTGGCCGTCGTAATTTAGTTTGGTCACCATTAAGTCTTTATGAAGCTATGTTAATGGTTGCTGAAGGTGCTGATGGAAATACATTTAAAGAATTTGAACATATAACACATTTAAAAACAAAACAAGCTTATCGTGAATGGTCAACAAATTTTTTAAATGAGGCAAAAAACAATCAACAAGATAATCGTCAATTAAATATATCTTTAAATATTGCTAATCGTCTTTATGCTGATGATGAATTTGATTTAGATAAACAATTTAATAAAATTCTCGAAAAATATTATCAAAGTCAATTAGAATTAATTGATTTTAGTGAAAAAGAAAAATCTGCTGATCATATTAATAAATGGATATCAAATCAAACAAATAATATAATACAAAATATTTTAAAAGCAAATGATATACATCCATTAACACGTATTATGCTTGTTAATGCTTTACATTTTAAAGCACCATGGTTTAAACCATTTGATGCTGAATTAACAACAAAAGAAAACTTTACATTAAGTACAGGTAAATTAAATGAAATAAAAACAATGCATTCAATATCACATTTTTCTTATTATTATGATAAAAAACATAAGTCTCAGTGGATTAATTTACCTTATAAAGGAAATAATCGATATGTATTAACACTTGCTTTACCAGATCAAGATATTGAATTACGTGTATTAGAAAAACTTTTACATAATTCAAAAATTTTATTAAATACTTTTTCAATACTTGATAATCGTACACGTTCATTAACACGTATAAAATTATCATTACCAAAATTTCGTATTGAATCATCATTAGATTTTGTTCAACATTTTAAAACATATTATAATGTTAAATTACCTTTTGATGCTGATAAAGCTGATTTTAGTTTAATGAGTTCAACACGTGAACGTGATTTGTTTATATCAAAAATTATACATAAAGCTGTTATTGATGTTGATGAAGCTGGTACTGAAGCAGCTGCTGTTACTATTATTCAAATGCTATCTCGTTCAGGAATGTTTCTACATGAAGATCCAATAGAATTAACATTTTTACGACCTTTTCTATTTTATTTACGCGATACTAATATCAAAGTGCCTTTATTTGTAGGTAGATTTACTGGTCTGCCTATGCCATGAGAGAATAAAGAAAAAAAAAATACAGCGAAATAAAAATTACCAAACAGGTGGACGAGGAGGAATAATAGGTGAACCACCTCGTGGTGGTATTGGTGGTACATTTGCAAAAGGTGAAGCATTACCATAAAAATGACCAGGATGACCAAAAGGTGAACCTCTTCTTCGACGTTCATTACTACTGCTAGATGATGAACGACTTCGATGACGTGGTTTAGATCGATGACGTGATGAATGACGAGATCGAGATCGAGTTCGGCCATAGGCACCACTACCAAAATAATTTTGATTGCCATAATGATATTGTTCTGGAGGAAAAGGAGCACCAAATTGAGGTTGTGGTACTGGTGGCATATACGAAGCTGGTGGATAGCCAAAGCCACCAGGTGCCGAAGAAAAACTATAGCCTTGTCCGAATTGACCACCTATAGGTTGTGGAGGAAAGCCAGTTGCAGGAGGAGACAATGGTGGATTACCTTGAAAAAAATTTCCTCCAGGAAGTGGAACACCACTGTGAAAAAATCCCCCAGTATTACCAAATTGTCCGAAACCTTGCTGAGGAAAAGCACCTGCATATGGAAATGAAGGACCAACACCAAAAGGATTTGAACCGTATGGATTCCTAAGAATAATTTAAATACTTTAGAATATGCATTTAAAAATAAATTTCTTCTTACATTTTATTCCGTAATGTGAATGTTACAATAAAACAAAAAATGAATGTTTGTGCAGTTGAATATTTATCAACTAATGCGTAAAAGTAAAATCAGTGATGCATGATAATGAGAGACAGAATGAAAGTGAAAAATAATTAAAAATGAATACTTTCTTTTTTTCTTTTCCATTCATACCGTATCATTCGACATTGCTCTTAGATATATATATATATAATTATAACTGATATGCACACGATAAAATGAAAATAACGAAAAATACAAACACAATATTATAATTTGCATTGATACACCTACACGGGATGGTTTTACAAAAATCGAAAAAGCTAAAAGAGAACAAGTTTCATGATGAAAATAGAAACCGTGTAAGTACATGGTGAATATTGTAGACAATCATACTGAATAGGCTACATATAGTTGTGTGATAAAAAAGAAAAACATGAAATATCTTTGCATTGATTCAATCAAATGGATTAATTTTTTTGTTTAGTAGTAGAAGTTTATTTAAAGTTCTTCGTTTTTTTCATACGGATAAGATAAGCAAATTCTATTATCAAGTATTGTTGTTGGAGTTATGAAAAAAATGTTATCTGTTACCAAGTACGAAAAGTAAATACGTAGTGTTTCATAGATAATTATCAGTTGTCTGTCATCTATGAGAATAAGATGAAATAAAAAAAAAAGAATTATATTGACTTATATAGAACAATGTTTCAGAACTATGTAGTTAGCTTAAAAGTCAAATGGTTACAAAAAATATCGAACTTTCTAATACGAAACACTTTTTTTTTGTAAGAAAGTTGGTAATTAATAGACTGTAATAATGCATTTTATGAAACACGAATTTCAACGTTTTAACTGACTACTAATTTTGAAACATTGTGCTATGTGCTTCAATACAGTTTGTTTTGACTTCTTCTTATTATTCTCTTCGATCATAAATGAAGACTATTAGTTAGATGGCAAAACATCGAAAGCCAAGATGTCGAAAAATTTCTAATCTATACTAAAAAAAACAATATGAGGATGTGAGTGTGAATGTAGCTGTTGTTTTTTTTTCTCTTCGCACACCTACAATCTTTTGCTATCCTTATACTCACTAATAATAAAAAAATTTAGATTTTCTTCTATTTAAAAGAGTAAACTAATAGAACAATTATGTACTCCTTCAAAATTTTGACTCTTTAATGCTTTGTAACTTTACCAAAATTATCTATGAAACGTTTCTAATGCATTTTTCTCACTTGAGAAAAGATGAAATTTCTTCAATGAAGGTCACAATATAACTCAACATTCGTATTTATTTCCATTATGTGTACGAAAAGAAAAACTTTAAATAAGTTTCTTTTATCAACGAAAATATCACCTTATTTGAGTGTGTATCTTAGAAATATCAAAAGACTAAAATGTCAAAATCGAAAAATATCGAAAAAAAAATGATATTGCTAATAAATGGTGATACTACGTATTTGTAATTTTGTTCTAGATGAATGTGAATGAAGCGAAGGTCCACTCTCGCAATCACATCCTTGATTGCAGCAATAGCGGTGTTGTCAAGTGAACGTAAAATAAGTAAGCAAATATTTTTCTTGCATGTTTAGTCTTAATTGACGAATGGTTTTTATTGATTTTAAGCTAGTAGATTTAACTAAGTACATCAAGATATGATGCCCAGAATCCCAACGACGCATTCTAGAGCACTTCTGGACCATTTTTCACTCCGACATTTATTTTTGATCTTTCTACGGTCAACCATTCGAGTAAACCGAAGTGAAGATATTTTATTTTTTTTTTGTCATAGTATTATTTATGGTCCAATTTGTATATTATTTTAATCAATAAACAAACGATAAAAATCAACTATGCAAGAAAAGTTGAAATATGAATAACTAATGAAATGGTACGAAAAACTGACATAGCAAGTTTTAACTTAATTTAGTGAAATTATAAGAATATTACCAACTTATTTAAATAAAACAATTTTATAAACAATAGAAAAAAAAATAATATCAAATACATTAATAAAATATCAACCATGGACATTAATCTTTCTATGGTAGAAAAAGAAAATTACCAAGAAAAACAAAATCACAAAAATTAAAAATAGACAGCAGATTGTTGCTATTCGAGATGCACTATTTTTTCCCCACATTCGAATTCCAATCTTGTACAGAATTTTCGCTTGCGACCAACTGAAATGTAAATGACACTGTCTACATTCCATACGATCACAACCACCGTTTTTTTCAATAGGTACTCGACAACTAGGACATCTTACAGCAAATACTCGTATCCATTGTTCACTTGTTCCAAACCACTTATATCTGAACGCATAATCTTTCCATAAATGTTGATAGCCAAAATTAACAAGTGCTGCATTAATAGTAGCTTCTCCCAGTTCAACATGACATCCTTCTTCGGGACAAATTATCCGTTTTGTAATATCTTCCGAGACAGAAGTATAGATGTATCGATGAAGACATGAATCACAAATGGTATTTCGACACGAAGAAATACATGAAGAGCAACGAGGAATTAAAGAAGATAAAGGTGAATACGACATTCGGCATACAGTACATATTGGATGTTCATTTTTAGACTTGCGTTTACGTCGACCCATACTAATTGAATATTTTTCTGATCTAATTTACAAATAATTTGTTATACACAGATACATAACGATTTCTTCTATTATGTCGAAAACGTTAGCTTTTTTATTTTCCAATAGATAGAGTTAGGCCATTTCAAGCAAAAAGCTTCATGACAAATTCTACAGTCTAATCGTGCCTATGATTAAATGTTCAGTAAGATGAAACTCCAGAAACCTTCCTCTTAAAATTCGGTTTTCTAGAAGCCTTATCAGGTCCCGAAAAGAAAACTTATGTCTTACCATCATCTAGAGATTACGAAGTAGGATTGATACCATTTGGAATCGACTTTGAATCGCTCATTCGGTTACCAGAGGATACTTGTTTCTATATTCCTACTCTGACACACCGGTAACGCAAAGTAAATCGATCTTTATCAAAAATCTAGGGATGCTCAGAAAAATACTTCGTACAGAGATTTTGTAGTCTTAAGAGTTATTTACAGGATGTGATATTTAGTTTTCAAAAATACAGCTGCAATTCGAAGTTTTTTAAAGTAGAGTGTGTGATGTGAAAGTTGACGTCTTTTTCTGTGTTACGTCGCTAATGCTACTTTTTTTGAACAAAGCTCTCTAATGTTAGTTTTTTTCTAGGTATCTAGAGTAACTTAACATAAATGTAACATATAAAAAAATTAGCAATATAAAAATTCATTATCCCGAGATGCACCTGTTTTAATTCTATGAAGTCACGTCACAAACGAAATGCTTTTGCTTAGATATCAAAATTTAGAATATCACTATTTTCAATCTCTATTCATATGATAATTCTTTGTAATAAAATCGATAATGTCTCTCAATTTTTTTTCTCAATAGGTGCGGCTCTTTTGAGGAAAAATAATTTCTTGCTTTTTAGAACTAAAAACAAAAAGCACCATGAAGGAACATTATTCATGTGTATTCAGTTTATGATCATCTATCAGTTTTAAGAATGTATATCAAAATAATTTTTTGAGGTTATAGAATATATCAAAATAATGTTAACAGAAAAGAATTCAACAGTCTTTCACTTACACTATTTATGGATTGAATAAAATAATAAAAAGTTTCTTATATCATTTGGTATTTATAGAGAAACAAGTGAAATCAACTGACGTGTCGATAGACACGTCAGTCGAACAGATGACTCATTCAATTAATTCTGTTGTGCTTAACATACTGCTGTTAAAAACATAAAACAAAACTTCTTAAAAGTTCATTAGGTAAATAAGCACAATTTGAAGTAGATATTATGATTAAAACTATATTACTATGTACATCTTTCGTCATATGAAAAATTTTGAATGCTAATGAACAAATTATTTTGAACTAAGATTCATTATCACTCTTGAATTTATTTCAGATCATTGTGCAATAATAGTAAAATCTTGCATTTTCTATCTGAATACATGATCTTTCGAAATTTCATGCAACTCTTTTCTTCAGTTTGAGGATGACGCTTTATACTTACTTTGCCCAATAAAGTAAACATAAAAGGTGTCACTTTCATCCGACCTTATTAATCATGCATTTATAATCTGTAATACCATGTAAGCTTAAGAAATTAGAATGAACAATAATTACTGTTTAGAAATCATATTCAGTCTCTACTACCGAGATCGACTATATCTATATCTTGCAAATTTTTCGCCCATTATTCTATTGTTTCAATACAAAAAAAATCTCCATTATTTTTACGACAATGCCATGTGCTATTATTTTTCTACTCTCTCGATAAACAAAATAAATTTCCATTTCTTTTTTCTTTCTTGCTTGCTTTTAACACTATTTTCAGCTTTTTGTATTCGTTTCTGTAACATTGTAATTTCATCAAATTCAAACCAAACATCGCGTTTGATGTGAAAATAACTGCGTCATATTAATAATTCATGATGCATAAATGAAACAGAACAACACGCAAAAATAAAACAGCAGCAGAACGAAAAATCGAATCATAGAACAGAAAGAAATGATCCCAAATAAATATTTCAATATAAAGGAAATATTCCCATTGGTTTCATTTTACATATACAACACATTTTTACACACTCTGGTGTATATCAGATGTTCTACTTTTTCTATTTAGAAAGAATTTTACAATCACAATACAATATCTCACATATATATTTACAACAATACATTCTATATTCTTTTTGCAACTTTTTCCACGTCGCCATTTCATAGCATGGCTACTACGGATGGTGAATATTCAACTTTATTTCCGCTTACAGATTGTATCTATTTTGAAAATGGTAATTGTATGTTTAAGAAGAAATGTCACTATCGTCATTGTGAATTAGCTATGAAGCAACTAGAAGAATGTTCCAATTGGCCAGATTCATGTCGTAACAAAGATTGTCCCTATCGACATACAAAGAAACCAACTAAAAACAAAAGACCGCCGCTACAAGAAAAAGGTTTCGTGAGTTTCTTTTGGGATATTGAAAATGTTCCTATACCTAAACAACAAAAACCTTTTGATATTGTTCAACGTATTCGAAAAAAACTAGTTATCGATCCTGGTCTACAAGAAGCTGCTTTTTCTTGTTTTTGTAATAGTAATACAATATCTCAAGCCAATCAACAAAGTTTACATAATGCAACTGTTCGTATTATTCATGTACCTGATCGAAAACCAGGTGCAATTGATCGACAAATCATGCTAGAATTAGATCGTTTTGAACGTGTTATTCGTCCACCTGCTACTGTGGTCTTAATTTCTGGTGATATTGATTTTGTTGGAAAATTAAATGATCTTCGTCATCAAGCAGGATTTGAAGTCATTGTTATTCATAATAAACTAGCTAAAGAAGAATTAAAAGCAACTGTAAATGCTCATTATTCATGGGAATTCTTCACTCAACCATTACAACAACAGGAACTAAATCTAAAGAATTTATCAAAAAATTTACCGATAGTTTCAAATGATCAACTAAACAATAATACTAAAGTAGATCGAATACCTACTCCAAAACTAAGACCGTCACGTTCAAGAACAAAATTTACTTTCCATGATGGAAATAATCCTCATCAAAATGATATTTTTCATTTAAAACCTCCATTAATGTATCAACGTTTTCGAAGTGCAAGCCAAAATCCTCATCCAAAGAATCATAGTCGATCACGAAAGCCACAAGTTTATGAGCCTGTTAATCAAGTGCCTATGTTCTATGGTGGTATTACTACTCCTCCAACTATTTTAAACTCTGTAGTTGCACCACGAGCTCGAAACCGTCAGGTATCTAGTAATGATCGCTTATATCGACAAAATCTTACTATCATTGGTTCGTATGAGCAAATACCAGCAGCTGTTAATAATGATACATCAAAAAAAGAACACAATCCAATGACATGTCCTTTATGCACTAATGAATTTGATACAATTCAAGCACTTCGTCAGCATCAAAAGGATAAAAAACACTTATTCTATTGCTCACTTTGCAACGATGGCTTTCCTGCATCACATAGTTTAAAGCAGCATCAAATTGCAAAAGGACATGATGCTTCAGAGAATATATCCGATCAAGTCAAACCTCAATCTAACACAAACAATGACTCGAAGGTGCATGGCTTGATTGCTCAATTTGAACAAAAATTCAGAACGTCTAACGATAAGTAACATCTTCCAGTATATCAAAATCCTGTCCAGAATAGCTCAACTATCGGCAAACATATAAATAATGTTAATAACCAGAATTAGGCAAGGTATTACTTTTATTTTACAGAGTAGATTTTATCTACGCTGTAAAAATACCTCAGTGCTTTCAATTCTTAACATTGACATTATTTTTCTAAACCACTTCTCAATCACTTTTTTTCTACCAATTGACTCCATGTTTCTTTTTTTATTTTATAACATGTGGTGGAAAAAAAGCGATTAAAAAAATATTATATTTTCATTTAACAAAAACCAAATAATCAGCTCACCAAGAAAAAAGGTTTCACAGATTCTTTTTTGTTGATTAATTTGCTTGTTTGTTTTTTTTTCGTTCTTTTTTATATCAGAAAATAAACAAAAACGGTTTTCTTTAAAATAATCAATATTACACTGAAGAATCCTTTCATGAAACGAGAGCATTCTATTGCTGCCTAGTTTATGTCCTTCAATAGACTAATGATATCAAATGTTGGTGATAAGTAATAAATCTATCAAAAGACGCGTTGGAAACTCATATTCCTTTTTAAACTCTATTTTTGAATTAAATTAATTGCTTACAACTACTTGGATACGGAATGCAATCACATAAGTATGCTAAAATACTTAGTTACAAGCTGCACAGATTCATTATTCAAGCAATATCCGGACATATGCAATTTTTCCAATCCTCATTGTTGGTTTTCAACATATATGCAGTTGGTAGTAATTCATGTTGCAAGCTAATTTTTTTATTATTTTCATTCACCAAGAAACCGGTTTTATGCACATCTTTTGCTTTTATTCAATATCACATCTAGATATTTGTCGTTCATCAATCGTACAATATCAGATCAAGAGCGAAGACAACAAAATATAGGCCGAACAAAATAGCCACAGACCATTCCATTGATGCAGAAACTGATTTGAGATTTTTTCTGCTGGTATTTCCACCGATCAAACCAATCACCACCAGAGTAATGACAAGAGGAATAACAAGACCTATGAAACCTGTAAGACTGAGGATGACATAATTGATTTGATATCGTCTAAATCGATAGAAAATGGTGAGAATAGCCGTAAGAATACTAAACACCAAGAACAATCCAGTAAAGGTGTAGTGAACACGACTATGATTGATTGAATCGAAAATAGCCAACAATGATAAAGATACACCGGAAACAATACCAAACACAACCAAGATGAAGGAAATAACGTGTTTGCGTCGTCGAGGAGTGTTCGGATCATACCAGAGTTTAACGAAGATAAGTGTTAAAATGTAAAACGAACCTGTAAGAGCTGTGCCTACGATAAATATCGTTTTGTATACGGCACCTATATTGGAGATATATGCCACTTCACCGTCATCCGGTTGATATTCAGGAAAACTATCTCGAGCCCATAAACTAAACAGTGCAATTATAGTAGCAAACCATATAAGACTAGCCGAAATAGATACAATTACACCAAGAGTCTTGATGAACACGTATCGCCACGATGGAAAAACGACACTTATATGCATTACGAGTGCAAACAACAGGTGTTGGTCTGTTCTCTCCTCTATCGATTGCTCTTAAATCGAAGGACGTTTAACACAGTTTTTTTTCGTTCGTTGCATACGAATAAAAGGCTTGATAAGCTTTGCTCATGTGTATTTATATGTTTGCGTGTTTGCATGTTTGTATGTATATGTATACGTGTATTTATATGAAGGCCGATCAAGACATAACTAAATGAGAACAGGAAAGAAAACGATCGATAATGTACACTAGTGGTGATTATTTGTTTTGATAGATAAGTTAATGGCCTCACCCTTTAAAATTTTCTTCACAGTATCCAATCTTGACAAAATTTTCAGCGGAGATATATCTCCGGCTAGATACCTGACAGTAAAAATTGCACCACGATATTTCGAGTCAACGAAGTATTAGCTTAAGCTTATGAGTCAAAATTGAGGTTTCCATGCGTCCCAAATTTCTCCGCTATTTAAAATGCTAGGAAATTCGTGTTAGTTTTAAAATGTAACCAAGTCATGGTGCTACGACTTAACAGGATCGGATTATTCGATTTTCTCTTTTCTTGTGTTTCTAGAAAATCCAGAGGTGTAGAACTAGGATGATTAGTTTTTAATAAACATTAAAGAAGAAATCGAAAAACTCAGTTCTGTTAAGTTGTAGAGCTGATTTTTGCCTTTATTTTGACGTCAAACGTTGTTTTCTAATGTTTAAAATTGCAGAGAAATCTGGGATACACGGAAACGTCAAAATCAAAAAATCCTATTAGGAGAAAAAAGGCAAAATAAGTTTCAGTACTGCAATTTGATACTTTTTCATTCGTAGACTAGTATAAATAGAATCTTTTAGTAATTTGTCATAGATTAATTATTAGAACGATTCACATGAGCACATATAAAGATGTCCGTCACTGCCAAAAGTTAGTAGAGAACTTTGAGAAAAACTTTAAAGACCAAGTTTTTTAGGCAAAAAAACCTTATATTTTTTGTGTGGAATGATTCAGAAAAATCTATATAATATCCTTGAATCTTCTCATCAAAACAATAAACTGTAGTGTATTCGAGAGTAGACACTTTGCTCGATATAGCAGACCATAAATCACAAAATTGATGACTTTTTACCAAAATCGACTTCTTTTTTAGGCGGGTTTAATAGGGATACACCAATTCCAATTCTTAAAATTTGTCGGCATTAGTTACAGATGGGAAGCTGTTTTTACCAAGCAATTATGTTATCAGGTAACGGGTAACGGCAAATTCCTGGATTTGATTCTTTCGTCTAGAAAAGACTATTTTATGAAAGTAGCGATGTTTATGTTTCAAGAAAACTCAACCAAGATTTCCTTAATGATGAATTTTAATATAACACTAATTTTCCAAAAAGATTACGAAATTAAAACCCTAATTGATAGTTTACAACTGAGTATGATTTTTGAAATGTCCCGTTGAGAATCCTTCGATTATAAGTCAGACCCTTGTTTACAAGAAGCGAAGCATGAATCAACTAGATTGTAAATGGAAGAAGATGATCAATATGGTAAGTAGGCTTAAACATGGGAATGACTAACTGTGAGTGCCGTTTTGAAGAGGTGCCAGCAAACAACTAGTCTCTCATCTCAAAGATTCACCGAAGGTATGCTTCAGACAGCGCTAGGATCCATAGAAAAATAGTCAATCAATGGGGTTCGGCAGATTGAAATCGTATTCAAAACTAATGAAAAGTCGAAACAATTTTCCTACTGAAGTAAAACATCTTGTAAATGTATTTGACAAGAAAACATAACTTCATGAGTTTATATTAAATTAATTTTTGTATAGACTACTAAACGAAAGGATTTCGTGACTAAAAGTCAAAAGATGATGACTGTGAAAGATGAATTGTGGATGATTGACATGTACATATAATATCAGCTTGCTTATATGCTTATTGCAAACACAAAAAGTAGATAGAGAGAAAAAAGGTTAACATTTTTTGAGAATTTCTTTCTTGTGATAATACGTAAATATTGATTTGCTTTGCTCTCTTTAAGACGTGTGTCACAGCTACGATAGTATAGTAGACGATTCTTTACCTCATATTAATATCGCAAAATATACCAGCGTACAACAATCCTATCAACAACTTAAACACTAATCGTTCATTTAGTATGTGGTCGCTCCAATAGTATTCGTCTACTAGTGAGATTTTGTATGAGATTCCAGTTAAATGATGCATCTTGGCTGCCAGATCGCAATCCATTACTTATAATAGTGAAAAATCTGTTTCTAACGACTTGTAGGCTTTTTGAAAATAGCGTCCGTTCTAGTTATAAGCAAAAATTTCAGAAGTAGAACAAGAATCATCAGACTAAATCGTGGGAAGTTCGGGAAATGAATTTAATTCAATCGTAATAGTGTGAAAGAACTAATTTTACGAGGTTATCCTATGATCATTTTGTTCAGATTGGTGAATTAAGTGAGAGCTTATTGAGTTTGAAATGAATGTAGTATAACTGAAGATGCTATGTGTAATGGTAATGCTCGTCATTTCGATGCATGCAAGTGGAATTTGATTTTTTCTCCGATGTCAATAATCTTTCATGCAATTTAATGGGAAGCTAAGCTCAGATTCGAGTTATTGGATATCTGTTATGTTTTCTTTTACTTGCATGGAACACTGATCAAAGGTACTTTAGTCAGCTTAAATTTCATGGTCTATATCGACTAATTTCAGATCAATATTTTGAATTAGATCTTGTACCTTCTTATTTTGAGTGAAAAAACTTGTAGAAATGTATATGTTACAGTTTAGGATGCTACTTAAGTAGAAATACAGAAAGTTTTCTACAAGCAAAGGGAACATTTTCATTGAGACTTTATCAAATAACTTTTACAGAGCAGCAATGGGAGCTTTTATAAAAAATTAAAAAAACCAATACACAGCCATAAGAAATCACCAGCTAAGAATAGCTCTAATGACTAACTCAGAGCTGAGTTTACAGCTTCAGACAGGAGAAGATCTCGCAGAAAACTGTGGAGGATATATGAGTTTCCATGTGTCATGACAGGCAATATTAAAGATCGAATAACTATGATGATGGTTAAACCACTATTTCTTCCTTTAAGTACGGTCACATCTGCCCATCTTTCAAAAAAAAAACGATTCAGCATATCCGTAGGATGAGCGCTACTTGTAACAATGTACACTTTATGTGTTATAGTATCAGTTATTTTTGTTATAATACGAAAGACAAAATATTTTTTATCATGATTTTTTCAAGACTATGAGATCATTTGATTCCAAAAGCACTATGTTGATACGACGCCTTAATTTGTACATTTATGTTAATAATTATTTATAGATTGTTGTCATTAAGGTAATACATTTAAACACGACATAAAATCGATTGGATAATATTATCGAATAAAATTTTAGTGTTAACAGCAAATGTTGACTTCAAATCATATTCGTGAAGCGATTCAAACGATTTACTAGAATTTTTTCCGTTTATTTATTTATTTTTTTGATATGTGAAAGTATCATCTTATTCAAATATTCCTGCAAGTAAATTCATTGACGTGCTAAATAATCGATTATATTTGATAAAAGATTGTTTTCTTTATCACTATATAAAGAATGAGTTTTTCAAGGTCAAAAACAATATGAACGACAAACACTAAGTTTTCAATTGATAACATTCTGATATTGACCAAGTGAGTCTCTCAAGATTAAAGTTTTTTAATTTAATTTTAAGAAAAAAACAAAATTACTATTTTCTTTTTGCCATTCATTAGAACCAATGTTAATGAATACATTCAATCTTTATGAATATGATGATAACATTTTAAGAAATCTTCATGATAAAACTAACAGCATTGAATTTCGTTCGAATTTCAAAGTAAACATCGCATTTAGCGCTCATATGAATATTATAACTGAATAATATATGAGCCACATTACGTGAAAAAGGACATACTTACCTTTCATTTGATTTTTATTCTTTACAAGAGGCATTTTGGTGAATAAGCTCATTTAGCAAAGACATGTAATAAAAATGTTCGCTCTTTCAGCCAATTATTAATTAAAATGTAATTTGAGAATATCTCTCTAACCGTACGAAAAGAAATTTGCAGATTACAAGGTAGACTTTACGGCATGAATCGCATCTGTGGTAAAATTTTCAGTAAGACTCAAATTCAAGAAAAGGTCTCTTTCAGTTCGTTGTTCTACAGATCTTATCAAGTCCTAAAAAAAAAAAACTTTCATGCTATCATCATCTAGAGATTATGAAGAAGAATTTGTACCATTTGGAATTATTTTTGAACTTCTCATTCGGTTATAAACAGGATTCTTTTTTTTAATGTTCATATTCTGTCACGTCACTAACGAAAAATAAATTGATCTTCTTCAAAAATCTAAGGATGCTCAGAAAACACTTTGGATAGAGATTTTGTAGTCGCAAAAGTTGTCTACAAAATGTACTATTTAGTTTTCAGAAATACTGCTTCTATACGGAGCGAAGTCTTTTAAACTACAGTGTATGACGTGAAAGTCGACGGTTTTTCATGTCACGTCACTAATGCTGATGTTTTTAGTGATAACTCTTCTGAACAAAGATCTCGAGTGCTGATTTTTTATGGTATGTAGAGTAACTTAACATAAATGTGACATGCGAAAATTATTTCTAGGAAATTCAATTATCTCGAGATGTGCGTATTTTAATTTTATTAAGCCACGTCACTAACGAATGCTTTTGCTCAGATATCAATTTTTATAATATCTTTCCTTTCAACCTTTGTTGATATGATAATACTTTTAAAACAATTAACAATGTCTCTCAATCTTTTCTTCTTAATAGATGCGACTATTTTGAGGAAAAGAAAATAATTTGTCTGCTTTTAAGATTTAAAATAAAAGGCACCATCAAGGAACATTATTGACGTGTATCAATTTATGATAATTTATCAGCTTTAAGAATGTATATAAAGATAATTGTTTGAGGCTATAGAATATATCAAAACAATGCTGATCAAAAAGAATTCAATAGTCTTTCACTTATATTATTGACAGCGGATCCAATTGAATAATAAAAAGCTTTCTTACATCAATCGATATTTTTAGAGAAACAAGTGAAATCAGCTAACGTGTCGATAGACATGTCATCTCAATGAACGACTAATTCTATTACTTCCGTTGCGCTTAACATATTGCTGTTATAAATATCAAAAAAAATTCTTAAAAGTGCATTAAGTATACGATCAAAACCTGAACTAGACAATTATTAGAACTATATTACTATGTACATCTTTCGTCATACGAAGAATTTTGAACTAAGATCCATTATCACTCTTGAGTTTATTTCAAATCATTGTGCAATAATAGTAAAATCTTGCATTTTTTATTTGAATACATGATCTTTCAAAATTTCATCCAACTCTTTTCTCCAATTTGAGGAATGACGCGTTATACGTACTTTACCCATTAAAGTAAGCATAACAGGTATCACCTTCATCTGAACTTATCAATCATATGCTTACAATCTTCAATATTATGTAAACCTAAGAAATTTCAATTAACAATAATTAAGATCCCAAAATCACACTCACTCTATGATATAGAGACTAATTGTATCTGTTTCTTGAAGACTTGCATCATTATCCTGTTATTCGAATGCAAAAAAAAAACAGTTTATTAGTTTTAAGGAATCCTAACGTAACCTTTTTCTTCTACTATTTACAGAAACAAAAAAAAGACTTTTATTCCTTGTTTCTGCATTTTTTGACAATATTTTCCGCTTCCTATATTTTTTTCTCTAGCGTTCTTGATCAAACTCAAAAGAAGTTTGCGTTTGATTCCACAATGACTGTTTCATATAAATCATTCATGACACATAATAAAAACCATAAGAAAACAAAAGAAAACCGATCAGAATGGAGTTAGAAATTCCGAGAAAATCTTTCAATGGAATGGGGAAATTTCCACTGATTTCATTGTTCATGATTAACGCATGTTATAAACTCTGTTATATATAAGATGCTCTTATTTTTCAATTTGGAAAAACTCCATAATCACAATACAATAGCTCACATATATATTTATAACAATACATTTTATATTCTTTTTGCAACTTTTCTCACGTCGTCATTTCATAGCATGGCTACTACCGATGGTGAATATTCAGCTTTATTTCCGCTTACAGATTGTATCTATTTTGCAAATGGTAATTGTATGTTTAAGAAGAAATGTCGTTATCGTCATTGTGAATTAGCTATGAAGCAACTAGAAGAATGTTCCAATTGGCCAGATTCATGTCGTAACAAAGATTGTCCCTATCGACATACAAAGAAACCAACTAAAAACAAAAGACCGCCGCTACAAGAAAAAGGTTTCGTGAGTTTCTTTTGGGATATTGAAAATGTTCCTATACCTAAACAACAAAAACCTTTTGNATCACCAGTCATTGGTTCATTCGATACAATAATTATCTGCAAAAGAAATAATCAAAACAATCTTTTGTACAAATGCACAATGGTGCAACAAAATGATTTTTGTTTATGTCACCAATGTTGCATAACAATTTAACATTACAAAAAGTCATTCACTCATAATCAACAAAAACAGTGGACGAAAAATATTTACTATATGCTATACCAATACAACACAAGCATTAGTTTTCTTCTCAATAAACATCTTGAACATTGACATAACTATTCATCATTATATATTGCTAACTTGTTGATTGATTTTCATTTAATACTCAAATAATAATTTTTGTATGTCACTATTTATCTGATTAATATGACTAGTTTTAATCGATCGTCATCAAGTATCATTTGATTATTAATCATCAGCTAAATCACAAATATCTAATAAAGAAACAAAATTAGACGAAGAAAACTTTCATCTCTCTACATATATGACTTCGAGTTGATTCTTCATTAGATTCATTTATTGTAATGAATGTAATACTAAGTCAAGCATAAGGTGATCTGAACGTTGTTTCATTAGGATTTGTGTTTTTTGATCTTTAATGATTAGTTAAACCTATTTTTCACATCAAAATTTTTAAGATGAGAGATTACATTACTATGTCAATGGCAAAATAGATTATAGGTCACATTACTTTCTTCGAATTCAGTCGTTTTCCATCGTATGTTTTCGATCTGCGCCCAAACAAGCATTTATAAATATACTTCATACTTAAAACCTTATACTTATAGTCTTATGATTATACCCGGCATGTACATCCTAATACGTAAATACCCGCAGATCTTTTTTAGTCGTCGTACTACTGCAATAGTCGTTTACAACGATTTTTTACGATCATCGTTATTAATAGTCGTTATACACTGTAAAGCTTCGTTTATGACTTCTATAAACGATCATTCTTAACGTTTATCATTTTCCATCGTAATTGATATGTACACGATCATTTACGACTGTATGGATTCACCTGGAAAAGATAAGAAACTCGTCAGTATTAAACAATATATAATCCTATAACAACCGACCGAAATACAATATCAACGAAAGAAAGAAACAATATTTATCTAAAGAGACGAACGAATTTCTCCACATTCCCTGTATCCAAAAAGTATTCATTTATTCAGATTCTAATGTGTTACTATTCAACTACGACTATTCATTCATTACATATAGTATGAGTATGGGTTTCTATGTGAATGAAAAAAAGACAACCACGCCCACATTTCCTTTTAATTCTTTTCTTAATTAATCGATCGCTCTGTTTGGGGATATTTGTCTTATTGTATAGTAACTACCACAAGGACGGCATAAAAAATGTTAGTTTATTAGATTTTTGCTCTACATTAAATTTCACTCGTTCCGTTTGTTACATCAAAACACCTCCTGCAAAAACCATCTTGCATTACAACAACGTTCTTGTTACAATGCTTTATTGTTATAATCTTTTAAAAAGCTGTAGACTTTTTTCAAAATTTTACAGTAGCAAGGGAATCTTCGTTCTTCCATTTGCTATTATAATCGATTGCATGATCTGAGTGTGGCTATGAGTAGAATCAATATTTACATCCACACATGAAGTACCCTCAAAGAGAATTTTCTTTGAAATAAAAGAGCTTTCTTCTTGAATATCATTCATTCATTCACGATTTTAGTTTGACATCGCATATAACTCTCAACACTACGCAAAATATGGGCTGCGGTGGATCGGTGCCAACAGCTAGTTCTCTCAATAATGATCAAAATCTTACTAAAACAGTAACCTCTACATCATCATCGTCACTTGCTACATTAAATCAGAAATCGAACTCAAATCACATTGGAAAACGAGGTCGTCGAACTGATACACATGAAATTGTTTCGAAATTTTCTTTTGATTTGGCTTGATGCAAATATTGATGAATCCAGTGAGCATTATCATAATTCAATCAAACATCTTCGATGCACAGTCAATACTATTGAAACCTTCCAAGATACGGAAGAATGTGTCGATTACGTATCGAAGTTTCAAAATGAAAAGGCGTTCCTAATTATTTCCGGTGCTTTATGTCAAACTGTTGTGCCACGTATTCATCAAATAACTCAAGTTTATTCAGTTTATGTCTTTTGTCGAAAACAAGAAAAGTACGAAGAATGGGTAAAAAATTGGTCCAAAGTTAAAGGTATTTTTACAGAAATTACTTCAATCTGTGACTTAGTTCGAAAATCTGCTCGACAATGTGATGAAGATTCAGTCGTGATTAGTGCCGTATCATCATTGAATCAAATTGAACCATCATTTATGTATACACAACTTTTCAAAGAATCCATTCTTAAAATTGTTTTCGATAAAAAGAAAGCAATTCACGATCTAACCGAATACGTCCGTAAGAAGTATGCCGGCAACGAAGAACACTTGACAATAATCGACGAATTCGCTCGAGACTACCAAGGTAATTTGGACGAAAACAATAAACCTATCTGGTGGTATACTCGAGAATGTTTCACGTACCACATGCTCAACAAAGCACTGGCTACTCTGCAAGTTGAAACCCTCCTCAAAATGGGCATTTTTATTCGAGATCTTCATCAAAACATCCAGAAACTCCATTCAGAACAAATGAATGAAAAGCCTGATGACCCAAAAATAATAACAGTTTATCGGGGTAAAACCATGGCAAAGCAAGATTTCGACAATAAAATCAAACAAGGTGGACTCATGTCGTTCAATAATTTTTTATCAACAAGTAATGACCGAAATGTTGCCATTGACTTTATATTGAAAGAGCTCGAATCCAACAACAAGAACAAAATTGGTGTTCTCTTCAAAATGATGATTGATCGATCGATTTCATCAGCTTCGTTTGCTCGCATCGCAGAATTTAGTTTTTTCAAAACAGAAAACGAGATTCTCTTTTCGATGTACACAGTTTTTCGTATTCAGCACATCAGAGAAATTAATGATAGTGGAGTATCGTTGTGGCACGTAGAACTTACACTCACCAATGAGAGTGACGACGAAAAGCTTAATGCTCTTACCCAACGAATGCGAGAGGAGATCACTGGATCAGGATGGCAACAGATGGGTTTTTTATTATGGAAACTGGGTGAGAATGATAAGACTGAACAAGTGCACAAAATGTTACTCGAGCAGGCATCCGATGAAAATGAGAGATGTTTTTGCTATAACCAACTTGGATTGATTAAGAATGGCCAAGGAGACTACGAAAAGGCGATCGAGTTTTACAAAAATGCAATCAATATCTACGAAACAACTCTTCCTTCGAATCATCCCTCCTTGTCTACTTCCTATAACAACATCGGTATGGTGTATACAAACATGGGCGAGTACTCGAAAGCACTTTCATTTTATGAAAAATCACTTGATATCTGGGAAAAGTCTTTCCCGTCAACGCATCCGAATATCGCACTGGCGAAAAGAAACATTGAATTGATGAAAGAACAAACATCATTGATGATTTTTTGCTTCAATCAATAAAGTTCGTTTAAGGGTGTGTGGGTGTCTGGGTCTGAGTGTTGTCTTTTTCTTGAATCACACCCACACCCTTTTCTGCATTACATAGTTATTTTTTTTCTGCTTGTCTTTCAGAAAGCCTCGTGTGAAATTTTATAAACACTACTTCTATGTAGTGTTCGTATCACTTCATTCTTTCATTAGTGGTTATCTTCTTGTTTCTATTTTTTTTTACTTTGACTAGACTAGTTAATAAACTTTTCTTTAATAACATTCTCAATCATGATGATTACAACATGTTTTGAAATATTTTAGATAATTTGAAGACACTGTTTCCACATGATGTATATTTATTTAGATGGATTTATATGTTTTTTGACAGGTGATTTTTGTTGACATCTCGGTACACGTAATATGTCCATGTGAAAACGAAAAAAAGTTCTCTTGTATATCTTTATGTGTTCATTACATTCGTTCTAGTCGTTAATCTATGGTAAATTATTCGAAGATTTTCTTATATTAGTTTACGAGTGGAAAAATTTTAATTTTCAGTGTGGAAACTTATTTTGCGTTTTTCTCATAATAGAGTTTTTGATTTTGACGTTTCCATGAATCCCAGACTTCTCCGCCATTTTAAACGCTAGAAAGCTGGGCTTGGTGTAAAATGAAGACAAAAATTAGTTCTACAACTTAACAGAGCCGGATTTTTTTGATTTTGCCCTTAATGTTTATTGAAAACTAACCGTTCCGAACCTACACCCCCTGAGTTTTTCGTATTTTACCAGAGAAGTCTTCTAGAAACACAAGCTAGGAAAAAAACAAAAACTCGGGCCCTGTTAAGTTGGGTGTGGGTGTGGGTGTGATTGTTCTCTTCACACATTCACACCCCACATTTTATTTAAAACAAAGAAAAAACTTTAAAAATGAATTCATTTTTTGTATTATTTTCACAAATTTTGAAAACTTATCGATTTATTATTTGCATCCAAAACGTCTTTTACTATGTGGTATAAATGTGAAAATCTTCCCAGATCGAGCATCCTCGGTTGTATACGAGTGTGTCGATCAATTACAGTGACAAACAGCAAACGTTTACTATAGGCATAAACTAAGATTTACGATGAATTACAGTCTTTGTAAACGATGACCATGAAAAATCACCGTTAACGTCTACGGTAACTAAAACCCATCCGATGTGGGTCTAAAATTTTGTAATCACCAGGTTTAGGTTTAAAACTTTTTACTGATGAGGTTCAGATCGGAAGAAGTCCCAAAAGTCCACCACGAAAATTAATGAAAATGTCTCTTATACAATTGAAGAAATTCAATTGATTTTTTTATAATATGTAAATGTGTTCTTCAAAAATGTTGTTCTGTTTATTTTCAGATCAATGTCTGTTCTGTACCGTAAGTCAGCTTCTGTAGAAGCAGCCCATATAAAGATTGCATTAGAATTACGTTTGAATGCTGTTGTATAACTGATACAGTAGAAGATCGTCGAAATTTGCATAAGAAAAAGTCGACGATGTTCATTGTATTTATGGAAAATGAAATACAATCAGGTATTCGAGCTATTGCGAAGGTCTGCTCCATTCCACGAACAACACCGAACCGAATTATAGCTGAATACCTGTCATTGGCACCCGTACAAGGTGCAATTTATTCGTGAAATGAAGCAGACCTTTGCGATAACTAGAAAACTTGATTATGGTTCATTTTTCACAAACATCATGAACTTCGTCGACTTCTTCTTCTTCTGTAAGTTTCGACGATCGTTCACTGTACTAATTCCAGAAGAGCATTGAAATGTAACCTTTATGGAATCTTCATTTGGTGTGTTTCTACTGAATTCGACTTGTAGTTTACGTTTCACAACCATTGGTGACTCAAATATGGTTATTTATAGAACTATTTTTATTCTAATGTTTATAGACACAAATATTTATCTGAAAATCTACAGAACAAAATTTTAACAAACATACTTACATATTATCAAAAAACCAATTAAATCTCTTGGAGTATATAGGAGATGTTTACATTAACTTTTCTGATGGACTTTTGGGATACCCTGTATGAATCGTTGAGATCGGATCTAAAAATATTTAATTGACTGGGTCAAAATTTTCCAATAATATATCGATCTGTTTTATCTGACATCAGAGCTAACTGAATTTTAATTTCAATTGACCATCATGCTACTGTTACATTCGAATATAAAAGAGGTTCAATATCTTGAGTTGTTTTCAATCAATCTAAATGAATTTCTTTTTCAGACTAAACTTCTCTAATAAGTTCTAAGTTCCATTCCAAAAATATAGGATTTACCTTAGATACAACCTAAGATACTAACTAAATAAAATCTAAAAAGTCAATTTTTTCTGCCACCTAGTGTTAAAACATTTCGTATAAATTGACTTTGTCTTCTCCCATTTAAATTTTCGAAGTTGGTCAAATTACAGAAAATCGTGTGCATTTTTCGAATATAAGAATGATTGGAACTTTTATTACGATTTGTGTAATTACTTTTTCTGACTCTCAGATATAAAGTCACATTGTTCGATTTTCTGTTACGTGAGATTAATACTAAACATGAGATTAAACAATTTATCTAAATATAATCGGGATTCTGATGGAATGAAAGTCAATATATGGGAAATAAACACATTAAAAAAGAAACAATGGTATTGTTTCTTGTTTATCAAAACTATGAAATAGAAGATACAAAATTTAATTGACACGCTAAATGTCATGCAGCGATTTTTCATTTTGCTTGACCTATAACTCTCTTATGTTATTGCAGTTTGAGATGAAACTTTGATCATTTAGTCAATTTATTGTGATACAACACTATTGAAAATATCAGCATTAGTTTATTTCTTATCCTAGATGCTATGAATATCACTGCGAACTGATTCTAAATTATGTCTTGTAGAAGTCATTTTGTGCAAATGATGTCATATCATGAATATATAGCATAAAACACACTATCAGTTTTATGTGGTCGAGATTTATCGAACTTTGAGTCCCAATTGTATATTGTGGCATGTAAACAAAGTTCTTTGTAGTTGTAACTCCAGGTATTTTTAATGAATATTTATTAACATATATTTCTCAGCCATACTAATAGTGGTAGTCGAGAAAATTTATATTGCAATAATGTTGCAATTCACTCATGTAGTCATCATATACAGACTGTTAAAATCTGAGAATAATAAATTCTTCTAATTCTTTCTCCGAAAGTCATTTGTTTGTTTTTTCTATGAAGTTCTGCTAAAAATAAAATGAAAATTACTAACATACATTTTTTATTTTTCTGTATTCAGTGTTGCATTTTAAGGATATTGAAAAGTGTAGAAATCAAACAATTTGTTCGAAAGTAACGACCATTATACAAACGGATAAGAAACTACATAAAACTGACTTATACAACAAT